GCCCCCTGCTGGTCACCACAGAGAAGTAGAGTCATTTCCTCATAGACGTCTATGGGAGCAGAGGAGTCGCCCCCTGCTGGTCACTACAGAGAAGTAGAGTCATTTCCTCATAGACGTCTATGGGAGCAGAGGAGTCGCCCCCTGCTGGTCACTGCACAGAATGCAGCTTTAAGACAAGGAGCTCTGATGAAGGTGGTCTTTGGTGGACGTGATCCCCCCGTGTGCTCACCTGTCCGAGGAGGCGCAGTTCCCCTCAGAACAGGGGGGTCTCTCGCCGGTGAACACAGCAGCTCTGAACAGGAACGTCGGCGCCCACAGCGCCAGAGAGCCGGTGACGAACGCCACGGCCGTGAAGCCGAAGGTGGACAACACAAAGCTGTAGCTGCAGAGGAGGCAGAGCGGCGGGTAAACAGACGTGTGATGTGAGGTGGTCCAGATGGGGGCGCCGATGGAGCCTCGTGCTGCACCTACTTCTTGCTGAGCGCCTGCAGGTCGGCCAGCCAGCTGGTCCGCTGCGTGTGGTCCTCCGGTCGGTCCTCGATGGCGCCTCTGATTGGCTCCTTGACCACGAAGAGCAGCAGCAGCACGGCGATCAGACCCAGACCAGGAGTCACCTGGGGGGCGTGAGGAGGGGGGGGGGGGCATTAACCCTCAGGGTGTTCATCTCTGATTAACAACATCATTTGAATCTCAATTTCAGTTATATGCGTTTGTGATGAAAACAGCCCACTTGATTCCTTCAAGAGTAAAAGTGTAACTTTCAGTGTGGAACTTGAATAAATGCTGATTGTCCTTGTGGATCCTCGACCCCCCAGAGACCTGAAGGGACCATCAAGGATCAATAAAGACACGTGCTAGAGCCTCACCCGTAGAGCCCAGTGCCAGTCCTGTGCTGCGCCGCCGACCTGTGAGCCCACGATGTACCCGAGTCCGCTGAGACAACAACCACAACAACAACACGTTTAGGGCTGCAAGTAACGATTATTCTGATAATCGATTAATCGGACGATTATTTCTTCGATTAATCGATGAATCGGATAAAAACAACAGCATGAAAAAGCTTTATTCTAAAACAGAACTGCAAATTCACGTTGAAAAAATACTGTTCAGAAATACTCACCAACACACCTGCATGTTCACTTGAAGCTTATTCATTAAATTATTACCATCATAGTAGTGAAAGTTAAGTAAATGTTAAACAGCAGCAGCGACACAACGAATCGATGATGAAATTCGTTGCCGACGCTTTTAATTATCAAATTTTAGCGATTTCATTGATTCGTTAAACAAGTTCCAGAGCGGAACCAACGTTTGTTATTATTGTGTGTAAATTCAAAGAGTCAGAAATAGATCCAGTGTGATACTAAGAGTCCACGCACCTGCCGACGGGGATGGCGAAGTAGAAAACAGAGAGCATGTTGGTCCGCTGCCCCTTCACGTACAGGTCGGCGATGATGGTGGGAGCGATGGTGGAGTAACTGGCCTCCCCGACCCCCACCAGACCTCGCGTCAGCAGCAGGGCCCAGAAGTGTTGCGGGACGCCGAGAGACGTTCCGTCAGCGGGGGGGGGGGGGTCAAAGGGCAGCGGCAGGACACACACACTCACCTCTTTGGGGGTGTAGGAGCTGGCGAGCGTCACCAGGGACCAGAACATGATGCCGACGCTCATGATGACCTTCCTGTTGTAGCGGTCGCCAAGGTAACCGAAGGCCGGAGCCAGGAACATGTAGCTGCAGATGAAAACTGGAGGGCGCAGACGGCAGAGCTTCAGCTTCAGGGAGTGAAAGCAGCTCCGTCCTACCGGCTGATGTCTGATGGACAGGTGGTCTTACCCGTTTGGAGGAGGCCGGACTTTCCATCGTCGATACCGAAGTACTGCTCGATGTCGGGGAGAACACCTGGCGGGGACACGGAGGCTTTTTACTTCTTTTAGAACACTCGCTGGATGAAAAGTCCCGTTCTGTCAGACGCTCGTAAGCGTCTCGTCGTCTTAATTTTGCGTCTTAATTTTGTAATACTAATTTCAGGCAATATTATTTTTTTGTAACTTTCATCAGAGAACATTCTAGAGAATTAAAATCTGCGTCCTGTGCTGTGATTGGCCGAGGCGACCCAGTGGCCCGCCCCCTACCTGCCACGGTGAAGCGGTCCATGTAGTTGAGCAGGTTGATGTAACACAGGATGAGGACGGTGAGCAGCGCGCGAACGCTCGACACCCCGCTGGGCGGCTCCTCCTCCGGCGGCCGGCGCCCCGCGCTGCCGCCCGGCTCCTCCCCCTCGCTGTCCTCAGAGAAGAAGGGCGCCGACTCCGACGCGGTCTCTGCCAGGGACATGGCCGCCGCTGAGGGGACCAATGAACACGATCAATAGCCAATATACGCGCACTTTGACCCCTTCATCAGATGGAAGAGCTTTGTGAATGAGACCGTTTAGAACACAAAGAATCATTTTACTCCTCGGGGGAGGAGCCTGTGTGGACACGCTATCGACAGGCTTTATGCTAAGCTAACCAGTTTGAGAGGACATTAACAGATAAACTTGACTTTCTGCAGAATAAAACCACGAGATGTTTTCTGAGGAAGAGGAATCACCTGGTGAGTCATATGATCACATGACCAAGTGAAACCAAGTCACGTGATCACATGACCAAGTGAAACCAAGTCATGATCACGTGATCACGTGACCTGGCGGGGCTGGATTGGAAGGGTCACATGTTCTCCTCACTGAGAAGGGAAGTGGATCCACGGTTTCACTTCTCTCCTGTTTCCTTACTGAGCTCCTTCAGCGTCGGAGACACTGGAACAAGGAGATAATTCCGTCCCACAATTCCTTGCAGCAGCCATATTTAAATAGTGACGTATCATTGGTCCGTTCAGGAGAAATAAGGATCATGACGGAGAAACGCATGAGACAGTTTAGTACATTTGCACTGTGATATTCCTTCTTTTCACTTTTATATTATTGTTATTTCACTTATGTTGCAACCTTGTTAATTAAGTACACTTTATTACAACATAACAAATGTTATTGCTTATTCCTTCGGGGGAACCGAATTACAGAAATGTAATACATAATAAAAGCTACTATTATCATGCAACGTGTCTTGTCTCATGCATATTAAATATCAACCATTTGTTGTTTTATTGATAAAGCATTTAGGTGAGAACACGTCCTTTATCTTCCTTTAACACGTCCTTTAACTTTCATTTATCAAAATAGAAGAAATGTGATCATATGTTCATGGAATTATGACCAATAAATAAAGACATATTTTTTGTATTAAATGTTTAAACTGTCTTTAAATTAATAGTTTTGTGTGACAGGCAGTTAAAAGAAAACATTAAAGATACTCCAGTCAAAATGTAAAAAAGCAGAAAAACGTCACCAATGGATATAAATTGCGTTAAAGATGGATGAGCTAATTGATCCAATAGCAGATTTGAATAAAGGTAATTGGCGACACTATTGATTATATATATATCAGATATATATATTAGATATATATTCTTTAAAAATAAAAAATTAATCGTTTCTAATTTCTTAAATTCTTTGTTTTGTATGATACTAAATCATCTAGGTTTGGTTTTAGACGAAAAACAAAGATCTCACCATGTGTTAAAGAAACAATAATCAATGGTTTGGTCCACAAATCAATAATTGCAGCCTCTTTTCCAATATTAATATAATAATAATGATCGGATAAAAGTATGTAAATGTGTTGTACATTAATCTTTTTAACCAAATATAATGTATCTGAGACTGATAGATGTATCTATATCAACAGACATGAATGAATGATTACATTGTATATTGATCTGTGATTTGATCGATGACCAATGGACTTTGTCTACAAACACACCTCATTGATCAGAGTGATCAGCTCTGATCTGCAGAAACAAAACTAAAAGACACGTGAGACGAACTAATCACGGACGCCACAGCAGACGATTAGCAACACGCTAAACGTGGTGTAATAAAAACGCAGTTGATTGATCCGCTTGTAAACGTTTTAACAAACACACGTCATCCCGATCACAGCTCTGGGGGGTTGAGACGCAGTATTTTGAATGCAGTCTGGCGCCTTGAACACAAGACGCAGAGGATTTCATCACCTTCTACTTCTTAGAATCAATTGTCACTAAAAAAACAATCTCATTAAATTGTCTATCTGAGGGTTAATAGTGCAGCTAAGTGCCATCAGCTGCTCGTTGTTGTTGTTGTTTACCTGAGTTGAAGACGCTCCTCTCTTCGTTACGCAAAACCGTGAAAAAAGCGTTATTCGGAAGCCATGACGACCGTTTAAGGAAAATACAAATGAAAGAAAAAACGTTTAAACGTGAGTCACGTGTTAAAAATGAAGTGACTGTTTACTTCAGCGATGACAATTCTGCACCACCGCCGCCATGTTGGATCTGGTGAACTTCCGCCCCGTCGCTCACATGACCTCGTTGTCGACGAGTCACGTGACAGCGGTCGGCGCATCCAATTAGCGGAAGTTAGAAATACAGACGGACTAATACAACAATGAATAAATACAAAACTAGATAAATAACCATCTCTTATTAAATCAATGTGGAGCTTAATTTGAAAATGTCGATAAATAAATATTTAAATCGGACCATTTTCACATACAATTATTTATTATATTTAATAAAAGTAATGTTTCAAGGAATAACTGCATACTTGATTCTTGAGAATTGTAATTACAGTTTTCTTCCAAAACTCAGTTTGTAATAATTATGACAAACAAATAAATAATATTGTTTAAATTGAATTGCACTGAGACGTAACATTACCTGGGATTTTTCTTAAAGAGAAACTTCTACTCATTTTATTATTATTTCCGGTACCAGTTATAAAAGTACAAAGAGGCTATTGTACAGACATTATATTTAAATAAGTTTACAATTGTACAAGTTTTCATGTTCTAAGCATAGAATCCCACAATTAATAGAGTATTTCAAAGGAACAATAGAGGCTCCAAGTCTAAACCCAAACTTCGATAATGTCCCCGTCCTCCATGTCTAGCTGAGCCGGCGTCTGTCCGTCCGTCACCTTGCTGCCGTCGTAGTGGAAGCGGACCGTCGTCCGGGCGACGCCGGGCATCGTGCACAGATACCGGGAGAAGACGGAGCCCAGCGGAGCGTCCTGGGACACACACAGAGATCCTTAGGTTACACGTTCAATTCTCGCAGAAATTCTGTCTGAAAGCGGGTCGGAGGAGGTGCCACGAACTCTGTGCAGAGAGAACTCCTGTGAGGAGTCTCGGTCTTTGCTCTGCAGCCTCACGGTGACGCTGCTGCGGCTGTCGGCCTCACTGTCATCCTGCGCTGCCATGACGACGCACTCTGAACAACAACAACAACAACAAAGAACAAGGTCCAGTCAGCTGCCAGCGTTAATCCAGATCAAAGCCTCGCTGAGCCGGGTTTGTGATTTAGCAGAATATAGGATTAAAATATCAACGTTATACATTAATTATCCCGGAGAAAACAATATTAATATGAGAATAAACCGTAACTACTAAAAAAAGCCATTAAACATGTTGATAATTGCGTCAAATAAAAGTGTGAGTTAAAAGTTGTGAGGTCACAGCTTCTGTTTAATATATTTATTATATTTTAAATATTTATAATCAATATAACACATATTGTCACATAAGAAACACTTAAATGTTATTTTAAAAAGTAAGTGTTCAAAAGCTTTCAATATTTTATTTATCTCATCGTTTGACCCACCGATGATGTCGGCGATGCCGAGGCCGAGCTCGCCCACGGTGGCGTCCGTCCGGAGCTCCTCCTCCTCCCTGAGCAGCAGGAGGCGAGGAGGCGGCACGTCGAGGATGATTGACAGCTGGGTCAGCACATCACTCAGACGGGTCGACTGCAAACAAACAGAGGAGCCGGTTGACAGGTGACATCATGGGGTCCTGACCCAGTTCCTGGGGGGGGGGGGGGGGGGACGTACCGACAGAACCAGGACCTTGTGGACGTCAGTCCGGCAGCGGATCTTCAAGGGGATCTCCCGGACCGAGGAGCTGTACAGAGAACCCTGTCGTTCGGAGACCGGGTTCACGATGACGTCCTCCTCCGGCTCGCTGAGGCACTTCCTGTCCCGAGGCTCAGGAGACAGGAAGGAGTTCACCGCCTGGAGCTTTCTGTCGATCTCACTGAGGAAGACCAACAAGCACACATGGTTGTCTTCATCGAGTGCTTTTCTTCTGGGCCAGAGACTAGAGACTAGACAGTACAGACCAGGGGTTAGAGGCCAGAGGTCAAAGAATAAGGGTTAGTGTCTAAAGACCAGAGACCAGAGACTAGACAGCAGAGGCTGGAGAGTAGACACTAGAGACTAGAACAGTGTTTACAGGTTTCTAGACTCACCTGATCTTCTTCTGGACCTGTCGGGACTGTTTCTGGACCGGACTCTCTGGAGGAGACGGGCAGCGGACAGCAGCTCTGGTATCAGTGAGGAAAAAACGTCACGTTAACGACGTTAAATATGAGGGTCCAGGTTCTACAGGTTCTACACCCCTAACAAGCCACGTACAGTTCTGTTGTCTCCAGCTGGACTTCAGCCTCGTCCTCAGAGTCGCTGAGGTGGACCACGTCTGCTGGAGCTTCTCGAGAAGAAAAGCGAGCCCACAAACCGTCGTCTGCTCAGAGAAACAAAGAACCCGTCAGGAGCTTCACTACACCCTCCTCTCAGAGCTCCACCCTCTGGCTTCCCTACCGGAGTTGTCCTTCTCGGTGAAGACGGCGGCCATGGGCCTCAGCTGCAAACTGCTGCTCACCTGAGGACAAGAAGCTCAGTCACGCCCGTTGGAGACAAACATCTTCACACACGAACTGATCTGTTCACCTTGTTGGAGTAAACGGGCACCGAGACGATGGCCGAGGGGTCCAGGATGCGCCTGCGCTTGGGTGGAGGCTTCACGGCCTCGTGCTCTACGTCACACACCTGGAGGACAGACGGACGGTGTGTTCATTAGTTCATGGGTGTCAAGCTCTGGCCCGCGGGCCCGCCGGTATTATACAGCGCATTCACCGCTAGTACTACAAATCCCATAATGCTCTGCTGTTGTTTTGGAGCGTCAATCAGGACAGGACCCAGACCGCTCACCACGACTCCCCGTGCCACGATTTTTCGAGCTGCGTGAGTAAACATTTCAGTTTCTGCAAAGCAAAGGGAAGAACGCCGCAGAGCTCCGGGAGCAAACGCTTCTGTGGGACATCTCGAGCATCTCGGTGCGCTGCAGCTGCATCGTCACAGACGTGCACGCAGCAGTGAGAGCTTTTAAAACTAAACTGTGTCTGTGGGAGAATCAGATGCTGCCAAACCATAAAAACGCAGATCTCTGCCGCCGTGTCGCACAGTTTGCTGAACAACTCCGTGTACTCGCCGCGGAGTTCAGCCGGCGATTTGCCGACTTTGATGTCCAGAAATGTAGATTTGAACTGCTTAGTAATCCCTTCGCAGTTGATGTGGAAAACGCACCAACCAGCCTCCGAATGGAGCTGATTGAGCTCCAGTGTAACGACACGCTGTTTGCACAGTTCATCCCCGACACAACGCCTCAGCTCCGCACCGAGCTGCTCAATCGCTCTCCATGTTCCGCAGCACTGATCTATGTGAGCAACGTTCCTCCTTGATGAAGATGATGAAAACATCTCACGGGAGCCGTCTGACTGATGGACACTGAGGGTTTCAGCTCAGAGCCTGAGCCCGGACAGATGAACTAGCATCCAAGAAAAGATGCAGGCATCTGGCTTCAGTTTAGATCAGTGTGTCGCAAACTGAGCAATAATTAACGTATTCTTTATGCACTTTTTCTTGCTACTCCAAGGCCTGAATGGTTGATTCATTCATTGTTATTTTATTTTCAAATGTATTAGCCTGTGGAAAAAGTTCATTTTGATAATTACCTCAGAAGGCTGCAAATAGAAAAGAGGCATACCAGTTTTATTTAAATTTGATTTAATATGCCATTTATATGTTTCTTTTTTTATTTTGAAATTCGATTTTGCGTGTCCGCACTATTAACTTATATAAGTGTTGCTTGTTCCATATTCAATGTTAAAGCAAAACTGGGTTCATATTGAAAGGTTCGTTTGTTCAACGTTGGCCCGCGGCGTTGTTTCATTATACATTTTGGCCCACTGTGTATTTGAGCTTGACAGCCCTGATGTAGTTCATGACAATAAATAAATGCGTCATCGTTTATTCTGTCTCTATTGGGTTCAAGCAGCTTTATATATTTAGTTGTAGCCGATGACAAAGAGTAAAAACGTAACATAACACGTAACGTTTAAAAAGCTTACTGCCGAACGTCAAATGTGTCATTTTTTAAATGGGGTTCGGCAGTGTTCTTGTTAAACTAACGTTACAGCTACTAACAACAAAGCGTTTATTTCGGTTATAATGGGGTAAAAGTAGTTTAATTGGAAAGTTCGGGTCACGAGGTGGTTTGGACTCAAATCGAAACCAAAGAGCAACTAACGGACGATCTTAAGGCTTTTATTTTGAAGAGCTAGCGTTAGCTATGCTCCACTACCAAGATGCTAATGTTCTCCTCTGAAGGAAGTTTAAACGTGTTTTGTTGCTACAGTTCACTTTTCACCGGAAATAACTTCAATCACGGCGACGCTGCATTTGTTTTTATTCACACATTTCACGTTTTTTTCACCGATAAAAGCAGCAAATGTTTTAACACTCACCGATTCCGCCATGTTTGTTTGTCTTTGCGCGGGCAGCTGTTGCCTTCACGGACTGTGGGAAATTAAAGAGTAATTACAAGGTTCTCCGCTGTTGTGCCTGTGAGTTCAGGGAGTGTGGGAAACGTGTAGAATATGCTCTTTGGCGATTAAACGAGAAATATTTATTATTGCTCTTCTTTTTTAAGTACATTTACTCAATGAATTGGGGTAGTATAAGCTGAGGTACTTTTACTACTATTTTTTGATATGTATAAAACTTCTTCTACTCCACTACATTAAGAACATTTAATCTAGTGCATTCATTTAAACCATATATATATATATTGACACATTGCAGTTAATAATAAATTATAATCATGGATTTCTTTACTAATTACTTAAAAAAAAGAAAAAAAGAAAGTGGAATGAAAATATCTACCTCAAAATATATTTAAACACATGTACTTGTTGCAGTGCTAAAACTGTCCCTGTGTGTTTCCGTGTGTGTGTGTGTGTGTTTCCGTGTGTGTGTGTGTGTGCGTCGCGAATAAAACAGTAAAGCATTGAAACATGTTTTCACCACTCCTTTTTTTTTAAAGTGTTTGTTTCATCAAATGTAATAAGAACAACAGAAGAACAGCTCCGTTCATCGACAGGAAGCTGCTGCTGGTGTGAGAACCAAGCGCTCCTCCACCGGAGACTGTCCCGATTCCACTTTGGAGTAAAAACTATCGACAAGTCTTTCCTCACGTGTCATTTCCCCCAGAGTTTCATCACTTTAGCCTTTAGTTTCTTCATCAGGTGATTGACTTCATCTCCATGGACACTGTTGTTGTTTATCTCAGCCATCAAACATAGAAGAAACTGCGTCTTTTACTGCTCAGACACTAAATTCTTCACGTCCTTTGTTGTTTGACCCCAAAATAAAAAAACACGATGGAATGGCAAAGTGTAAAAAATAATTCCCCTTTTGTTTTTTGTCTCCTCGAGACGAGAAGAAAACCACTATAGAAACACTTGTTTTCGGAAGGGAGTCTGGTTCGATCAATGCTAAGCTACGCTAACATTGTTGCATCTCCAGTGTCACGTGAACACGACAGCGCGGTGACTGTGCAGCACATTACACACACACACACACACATGTGCTTATATACACGCGAGTGTCCTTCTGTTCTGTGTACAAGTAGGCGGTACCAAACCACGTGGCTGTGAACGCAGCACAAGAAGAAGAAGCGACACTCAACCCCTCGGGGTCAGAGTTGAGTCGCCATGTTTTTTATACAATGAGAAGAAAACAGGAAATGTTGTTGTTGTCGTCACTTCTTCTTGTTCTCCTTGCAGGCGACCACGTATCTCTGAGCCACGTTGAGGGGGGGGGGAATAGCCGTCAGCGTAGGACGTGTCCTCAAACAGCACCGAGTAGTCGTCCTGAGGCTGGACACAGAGACACCATCAGGTATTGATCAATCAGGGATCTCATATCTCTCTCCCCGCACACGCACACACACACACACACACACACACACACGCACGCACACCTCTCACCCTGTGAGGAGGCGTGTGGATCAGAGCCCGGTAGAAGCAGGTGGTCTGTGGGTAGAGAGCCAGAACCAGGTGGTCCTTACTGAAGAGGGCCCCCGGGTCGGTCTCTGGGTTTGCCTTCCACTGAGGGAGGGGGATGATCCTCCTTCTGCTCAGCGTGTGCCTCCTGGTCACATGGTCACACAAACACTTGTCGGATTAAACGTCTACAATGTAGAGACATCACTCACACGTGCTGCTTTCTTGGCTTTCTGCAACCAGTGAACAGGAAGTGACCATATATGGGCTGACAAGGACAGAGATGATGTCTCTGTTAGAGACCTGTCAATCAGCGTGTAGCCCCGCCCTAAACAATCCCCTCCTTTAACTGATGTAAAACTACAAATTAACAAAGGTTTGACTCCTTATATTTTACTCACAATAAAACAAGTTTGGCCTTTAATACAGAATTAAACAATTGGGATCCAAAATGCATTGTTGTGTTATTTCACTTATTAAAGAGGAACAATCTGAAGAAAGAAAAATCATGAAGTATTAAACTCACTCTTTTCCCTCCTCGTCAATGTCGTCCACTTCGTACCTGCAGAGGTCGACAGGTCAGTTTGAGGCATTCCCTTTAGATATATTTTCCATACAGATATATGGCATCTATCATCTATAGCAAATTGTAAATTGGCTTATTTCATGAAATTGCACTTTCTTGTTTCTTGTTCTCCTGAGTTTGTACCCTATGGTTGAATGCACTTATTGTACGTCGCTTTGGATAAAAGCGTCCGCTAAATGACATGTAATGTAATATACATATACAAGTATATACAACAGGAAAGTGGGAGAACTTGTTTCTGCTACTTTATCCTTCTGCTGTTCTTTGTTCAATTATGACATACAATTGCTTAACATTTAATGAATTAAACTAGTACATTAGGTACTTAAAACTCTTACAATGTCATAATTATCAATATATATATTAGTGGTGGGCCGTTATCGGCGGTAACGTGCTGCGTTATGGTGAGACTCTTATCGGCGATAAAGAAAAAATAGTGGCGATAATCTATAAATTGGGTTTGGAGCTGGGTCTGTACTACGCAAGCTATGATGATTTTCACCTTGATATTCCAGCGCGGATGTTTACCTACGAGCGCGGATGTTTACCTACGAGCGCGGATGTTTACCTACGAGCGCGGATGTTTACTAGCCAAATTGCACTGTAGGGGGCGAGAACGAGACGTGCTAGCATGGATGCTGCTACGAAGTCACCGGGTTTGCTTCAGGGAAAATTTATTTTTAAGAAGCTTCCCAAAGGAAACGTCGACAAGACGAAGGTTGTTTGCACCGTGTGCAAACAGGAATTAGTTTACTGTAGAAGTTCTTCAAGTCTCAAATACCAGCTAAACGCAAAGCATCGCTTAGCTAAGGCGGAAGATGCCGGGCCAAGCACTGATGTAGCGTCGTCGTCAAACTACTATGTTTGAGTGACACCGAGCCGAGCCCGTCAGCGCGGCTCCATCGGCCAAGCTAACGAATGTCCTCGCGCAGTGGATCGCCACCAGCGTGGTAGAAGATGACGGGCTCGAGCTTGTTCTTCAGGCGGCCACAGGTGATCCGTCCTACAAACTACCTGCTAGGCGAACTATCATGAGGGGAATACGTGACCAGCACGCCCCTGGTCTCATGTGCCACCTGGCTTAAGAAACCTGTTCTCAAAGACTGACTTTTACTCATTATTTGGGTAGCACACATATTCTAAATGCCTTCACCAGAATTCAAATGAGCCATTTTAATCTAGATTAATTTCAAGATTACAGTGAGATTAATCTAGATTAAAGAAATTAATCTATGCCCACCACTAATTATATATATAGTAAACTACAATATGAAGAAATTAAAACTCAAACACCACATAAATATTAATAACATATGAATTGGTATTTTCTTACCCTGAAAGTACATTTACTCAAATTCAATTCTGAGGTATTTAAATATTTTATCCTTCTACTCTATTTAAGAGCTGTTACTTTACTTTTAATGAATTAAAAAGTAGTTGGAACGCTCCACTCCATTAAAGCCCCGCCCACATCCGAACACATGACCATCCGCTCTTACTTGTTGGTGGAATGGTTGTAGCTGACGACCTCGGCCAGGATCCACTGCTCGTCCCCGTCCACGGCCTTCACCCTCGCCGCCACCTTGTCGCCCTGCTTGGCCACGTAGTCGCTGCTGGCGGGGGTCGCTCCACACAGAGGGGGGGGGCTGAGGGGCACAGACAAAACCAGTAAGTGCACCAGTTATTGTGCCAAAGTCACAAAAATGTGTCACGCTGTAAATTGCTTAAGTTTGCGGTTATTTGCCTCATGTGGGCTGGGACGCCAGCGGGGAGGGGCCTATCTCCATGGAAACCGTTATCAACGTGGCCATTTGTTTCCTCCACCCCCCACAAAAGTAATAACCTCTAATTCTATTCAATACTTTTTGTGGAAGTCGAACATGTCGAGAGAAACTAAACGGCTTCCGTGAGTGACATCATCATGTGTTCACAGAAGCGCCTTTATTCGAGGTGTATGAACACAAAATGACGACATTTTACTGTGATTTATTCACAATAAACAGACAAGTATTCGCTATTTGTTTTATTTTCTCCTCCAGACAACGAATAAATAACTTGTACGCTACGCTAACATCTCCATCATCACTCAGAATAACGACACATTGACATAAACGCGTCTCTGGTAAGATCATAAACTGTGTGTGTGTGTGTGTGTGCGTGTGTGTACCTCTCCCCAGGCTTGCCAATCCACAGAGGAAGCGTCATGGCCGACTGCTGGAGGAGCGTCATCAGGACGCCGCGCCTCATGGTCTTCCTGGGGGGGTCGCTGTCACTGTGGACCCCCGCCATTTTAGCAGCTAGGAGACACGACAAGGTAGAGGAATCCTTATCCCACACAGACAGTGACATACACACACACACACACACACACACACACACACATACCGATCCTCCGCTCCTCCAGCAGAGATTTGATCTCGGCTATTTTATCCAGCGCGTGATGCAGGATGCTGAGAGAAACAACAAATAAACAAACAAATCATTACTGGATACATTTCATGATCATAACAAATCGACACCCTTCTTTAAATCCACGGTTTGAATGTGTTCACAACGACATCTTTGAATCTGTGTTTTTCTACAGGCGCTTCGGTCAGAGACTAAATACACACAACCGCCATCACCTGCACTCGGCCTCTGCGTCGGCCTTGGCCGTGGTGTACAGGCCTCTCAGCTTGGTCCGGTAGTACGGGGACGCTGGGGGACACAAGAGGGACGAGACTAAGGCTCCACCAGGACTCCTGATGGAGCCTTCGTCTCGTGGGTGGAGACCCCAGAGAGGGTTACACACTGACTTTTGTTCTCCGTTTGCATCCTCTCGTGCGTCTTCTGGATGTTGAGCAGGTTGTGTTCGCTGCGTGACCTCTCCTCCTGAGAGACAAACACACGTTCACACACTTCGTCCACTTCGACGAGCGGGCGCGTGACGTCACAGACTCACCTGGGTCTGCTTGATGAGCTGGTGGAGCTCCGTCAGCAGCTCGGCGATCTTGGTGTCCGCTGACATGTCGGTACCTTCGGATTTGAAAGGTCATTCATGGTGATTCACGTGTTGCTGTTTGGTGTTCAGATTGGAGCAGAACCACATCTAGAAACCGCTCATTTTAAAGACGCGGGGCTCGGCCTCTCACTGAGAGATGACGGGCGGCAGACCGGAGCTAAAGATTATTAGTATTAACACTGCATAAGACTGAATTGCCGAATAATATCTTTGATCACACCTGTTTGTTTTATGTGCTTTGAGTTACAATCATTTCTGAATTGACAGATTTCTGAATGGAATTCTATTTCATAAACTATTTGTGTGTAACGTGGCTCGTTTTGAGTTTAAATCAACAAATATGGCATTCGGTGTTTATATTGTGGGAAATGCAAAACTTAAATAAAGCAGATAAAATGCTCAATACAGCATTTGTTGTGGGAATAAACGAGGCTACTTGAAGGCTAACTGTTGGTTCACGGCGTTAGCAAGCGGCTAGTTCGGCTACGTTAGCTTAACCAGGCGGCTCATCTGTTGGATTCGCGCTCGTGTACATAATCAAAAATCTGCATTAATTCCCACTTCTATAACTTACTAGCAAACTATACGGTATATGTTTCAAAACACAATATGTACTTACCGTATTAAGCTTTGTTTTATTTATTGTCGCCCTGCTATTTAACCGGATTAGCTGCTCTTCCTCTTTTGGGTTAAAGTTGGTCGCTGAACACCCGCCGCCTGCTGGACGGAGTCTGCAACTGCAGGCTGGTTCATGTTATTCAGTACAATAGTGAGGTACTTGTACTGCATACTGCGTGTAAATCACCTCGATGTTATTCTACATACTGAGTACTTTTGAAACTTTAAGTATTTATGCAGTACTTCAACCTCTTTACACTGGGGTATTGCTGCTTCCACTAAGTAGTTTCCAAGCTCAGTTCGTACAGAAATACAAATGCCAAAGATCCCTGTCAGGTTAGGTATTCTATTTAATATTCAAATGTGTTGGGACTGATTCAGTGAAGAAAACACGTCTGCAGACATTAACTTGAGTTTTGCAGCCAAAAGAATATTCATTTTGGACCGAATACACAGATTTCTGACTATACACGTACGTGTACCACAGAGAGGTCACGTCAGCACAAGGGAGTTAATCTTTGAACCTGTAGGGTTTTTGCCGGTACTTTGGTCTGAAACTCAGACGTCACGTACAAATACACAAAACCAGGTCTTTTAATGATTCTTCCCGTCAGCAGTCGGGCTCATCAGCCGAGCCGGTCCCCCACTGACTGACTGACATCCACCGCTCACTTTCTCTCTCACGGCACACGTCACTTTCTGTTCGCTGGTGCACCTTATTTTTAAGTTCTAAATATTGTTAACTTTACCTTTTATTCCTTTATTTTCAAACTAACCCATAGCCTTATATTTTATATTATTCCTCGTGCACTGTCGTACTGTCTGCTGTTACGCAGCCAAGTCAAATTCCTTCTATGTGACATATTATGGCAATAAATGATTCCTGATTAATGTCGAGTCCCTAAAACTGTGTTTATGAATCTATAAATGAGGGCGTGAAATCGGATGAATGTCTGCACATAGAGAATCGATAATAAAAACAAAATGTAAATATGTGCTGCGTTTTATGTCTTGAAAGGAGAATATTGGAATTGAAGTGCATCGAAGGGAATTTGATCTTTTTATTTTTATCTAATTTTTGAGCCAAATTAAGAGAAAAAATGAAAACACAAATATATAGGAACTTTAGGGTAATGAGTACAACGTGTGTGAGAAGTATAAACTAAAGTATTATTACACTTGATATCCTCAGACTGCTGAAGCAGAAAGTTAGCTTAGCACACAGGGAACAGGTGTAAACAGTTAGCATGGCTCTGAATAAGCTGATTAACTTGTTACATCTGGTCTCTGTATAAATACGAAGGGTTTTACTGGAACAGCAGATAGAACATGAAGTACGAATCTGACAGATGTTATTATATTTAAAAATAGCACAACTGGCCTTTAACAAACAGTTTAAATGCATAAAGTGTGTTCATGGAGATCAGCTGATGTTTAATCTGTGTTTACACTGCGAGAAGCGACTTCCAGAGTGAACATCAAGGTCAGGGTCCACAACAGGTACACGGGGGGGGGGACGCAACACGCTAAAAACCACAGATTGACGAGTTTCTTAAATGGTCGTAAACATAAAATAATATAATATAACACACACGCACACAACATACACACACCGTACACACACACACACGCACACAACATACACACACACCAAACACACATCATACACACTCACACGCACACACACACACATCATACACACACACACACTGTTGAATGAGGTCATGGCTGCAGCTAAAAAAGGAAGAGGGGGCGGAGCTTAGACTCAGCAGACGAGGCGTTACAGCAATAAACCGTATAATCATTTCATCCTATTCACAAATCTGCACTTTATACCAAAGATGTTCATATTAAAACAATAAACAGTGACACATTCTGTAATTATGTTGAAAAGTTTTAACTTTAAGGGTTTTATTATTTAAGTTATAGTTATTTAGTTTAAGTGAAACAGTGTAGATAATAAAATGAAGCTATGAAGATGAATTTACGTTGTTTTAACATTTAGAGGAAATGATGCAATATTTCAGTGTGTGAGTGTGTGTGTGTGTGTGTGTGTGTAGGAGGAGCTGTGTGTGTGTGTGTGTGTGTGTGTGTGTGTAGGAGGAGCTGTGTGTGTGTGTGTGTGTGTGTGTGTGTGTAGGAGGAGCTGTGTGTGTGTGTGTGTCTGTGTGTGCGTGTGTGTAGGAGGAGCTGTGTGTGTGTGTGTGTCTGTGTGTGTGTGTGTGTAGGAGGAGCTGTGTGTGTGTGTGTGTCTGTGTGTGCGTGTGCGTAGGAGGAGCTCAGTGTCTCTGTTATAAAAACACACCGAGCTCCTCCTGATCAGATCCTCGTCTCCTCTGAACATTCTCTAAACATCTGTCACTGTTGCACATCTGGGGAATCGAACATGAGTCACGTGGACGTGAAGAACCTGAAGCCCTCGAGCTTCGAAGAAGAGAACTACGACCAATACGAGTATTACAACCTCAGCGACAAGTACGCAGGTGAGACTCCTCCGCCCTGTAAACACATACGTGTACTTTGTGTGTACTGTGTCTACACTCTGTGTGTACACTTGGTGTACTTGAGGTCTAAAGACGCGTTGCTCCTCAGAATCCTCGGCCCGTAAGGGAAGGACCAAGAAGGAGGCGAGTGACAACACCAACCGTCCCTCCCCCTCCGGCCACGAGCGCAAGCTGGTGGAGAAGCTCCAGAACCTGGAGGAGAAGAAGAAGAAGAAGAAGGAGTGAGCAGGTCAGCTGCTCTCTGTTGACCTCTTTGTGTAAACACACAATAGGCTTTAAAACAGCATTCAGCAGTAATCGCATAAACCTTTATGTATGTTACATAACGTGTATATGTATATAAATATGTATATATATATAGTTCATTTTGTATACGAACATACTCCTTCCCCTGTAAACCAGGGCGACCCGGACGGCTCATCGGACCCCGACCACGGCGACACATTGAGACCCACAGACAGCGGGGGCGTGCTGAGGCCCCGACGGGCCGAGGCTTGACCCCCGACCCCACCGGCCCCCTCCAGGAGGAGCTCACCGGATCCTCCCCGGTGGCCAGGCCGTGGCTCCTCCCCCTGCCAGGGGGCGGAGAGCGCCGGTTTGCTGCTCAGACCGCGGAGGTGCACGTGCTCACGTAGGAGGTGCTCTCAGTATCATGAGGTCTATGCGACATGTTTTCATTGCACTGAAAACAAAGAAGCTTTTACCAATAAAAGTATTCTTGAATAACACCGTACTTCTTTTCCCTCTTAGTAGTTCAATACTATGATGAAATGTTTTATTTGAATACTTGTAAGTAAGCAGGAGTATCAGAAATAAAGTCTGTAAAGCCTTTGTATTATGTAATTATCAAATACATAAGAGGGAGACTTTGGGGAAGATACACAACAACCCAATTAAGAAGGAAAAAACACTTGTCCATATATTAACAAACAGGAAGTTCATTTTATTGTGAAAGGTTGCAGACGCTGCGTCTCAGTTTCTCAGTTTGGAGACAACGTCAACGCGTGTCCTTTGCGGCTCGACACGTTCCAATAACTACTAGTTATTAGTTATTATTAGTTATTCTCAGTGTCTCACTCTCCAAGTGTCTCTCTCGCAGTGTCTCACTCTCTCAGTGTTTGTCTCTCAGTGTCTCACTCCCAGTGTCTGTCTCTCAGTGTCTCACTCTCTCAATATCTCACTCTCCCAGTGTCTGCCTCCCAGTGTCTCACTCTCCCAGTGTCTGTCTCTCAGTGTCTCACTCTCTCAGTGTCTGTCTCTCAGTGTCTCACTCTCTCAGTGTCTGTCTCTCTTCCAGCAGGATTTGTCCCTGCTGTTTGAAGCAGGGATCAGGAAATATTTATAGAGACGACTGTTGTTACATAATCAGCTTCACCGTACAGACTCAACACAACATCGCAGTGTTCAACACACACACACACACACACACACACACTCTGTGCTGAGGAGATACCCGTGCCTTTAGAAACTCCCCTGGTTGCCTAGCAACAAGCCCTCGGGATTGCCAAAAGAAACTTCAGATAGTTGTGATATAACGAGTGTACTATGCGATACTCTGTGTGGTTGTGTGTGTTTTAGGATTAACATCATTAGATCATCCCAGCATGAAGAAGCTCGATGTCTCTCTAATGTCTGTGTGGTAGAGTTATGAAAGTAGAAATATCAAAACAGATAAAAAACAACAACAAGATGAACAGAGATCGTAAACAACACCTGGGGATGAAATAAGGAGAACACAGATAATAAAGGGAAAAATAAAACCCAGCAACACGTCCAATATTCATGAAGGGTTTCCCGTAGAAGAGGATTTGAAGAAGGGATTTAAGAGATGCTAATGATCTCAGTCTATTTATGGTCACTTCCTGTTCACTGGTGAAAACAAGATGTGACGTCATCATAACCGTCATTCTGCACTAAAGACAAGTTGGAGATCTGCTTCTACTCTTCAGGGTTCTGCTTGCATTGAGCAGAAGGACTTTTATTTTGAAGAGGAAAATGAGATCGAAGAGAGAAAAATGTGACGGGAGAAAACAGTCTTGATGTTTTTGTGTTCCATACTTTAATAATATGAAGAAAAGATAAGAGATAAACCCGATAAAACATCCTGCTGCCACGGCAACCACATCTGATCTGTTGTTTTATTAAATGTGTGTGTGTGTGTGACTGTGTTCTTTCTACCCAGTGAGCGTCTTCTTGTGTTGAAACAGTATTTCTATTTCAGCTCATGGGTTTCATTGCACTTATTTTCATAGATTTAGTCTCCAGAAGTCAAACCACCAACCGTTTGTAGCTAATGATCCACAAACACAACTATAAATCAACGTATCGTCAGTTCATTAATGGTTTCCTTTTTCTGTAGTGTTTTTGTCATTTGCAAACATACAGTGATGAATTGTGGGTAATGTGTGTGTTGATGAAACTGGAAAATAACACCAACTGGTTTCCACACACACACGTGGTCAAACAGATACAAGGATGCTTCATTGTACACACCAGGTCTGCAGCAGGTGAGCTCACCTGTCTTCAGCCGAGATGGAAGGAGAAGGTCAGAAGGAGGTGGAGCTCAAAGAGAAAAAGACCAATTCAACCAATGAAATTCATGCGACTCCTGCGGACGATGTTGTGAACACGGATTCTTGTGAGTGTTTCATTCGATCGGAGTTGTTGTGCTAATTGTGTGTTGTGCTAATTGTGTGTACGGTCTACAAACAAAAACATCAAACTGGTTCCTAGGCAACCAAGAAAAACTGTAATAAAACAAAGACGTGTATGCTGATGACACAACGTTATGCGTGTCACGATGTGGGTTTGTGTCTCGTTTTATTCTGTAGTTTCCTGCCTCTTCAGGGAAATCAGGAATCAGGAAACATTTATTAGCCAAAATATGTCAAACATACAGGAATTTGTCTTGGCGTTAGTGCGCGACAGTAGACAGACAAGACAACAGTGCACAGTAATAAAATGAAGTGGAATGAAATGCTAATGCAATGGGTTAGTAGAATAAGGCTATGGCTATGGGTTAGTATAAAACAAGGGAATAAAGGTAAAAAAAATTAAATATTAAAAAGTTAAAAAGAAAAATATTAAGCATAAAGTGCACTAACAAACAAGTAACAGACAAGAGACAAAGTGACAAGTGACAAAGTGATGAATTGCAGTTAAAGTGGCATGTGCAGTGTGAAGGAGTGACCGGTGGAGTGTTATAGTCAGTCAGTGGGGGACCGGCTCTGTTGATGAGCCCGACTGCCGACGGGAAGAAACTGTTGGTGTGGCGGGAGGTCTTAGTCCTGATGGACCTCAGCCTCCTGCCAGATGGAAGGGGCACAAACAGGTTTTGTCCGGGGTGAGAGGGGTCGGCCGCGATCTTTTTAGCTGCTTCAGAGACCTGGAAGCGAACAAGTCCTGCAGGGACGGCAGGTTGCAGCCGATCAGCCTCTCTGCAGAGCGGAGGACACGCTGCAGCCTGCCCTTGTCCTTGGCTGTGGCTGCAGCGTACCAGACGCTGATGGAGGAGCAGAGGATGGACTCCATGATGGCCGCGATGATGGCCCGGGGTGGCTTCACTTCCTGTCTTGTCCTCCCTGTGATTGTCTCCCGTGTCCCTGATGGTGTCCACCTGTGTCCATTGGAGCCATGTGTGTCTCTTGTCCTTATGTGTTTTTGTGTGCTCGCTCTATGACAATACTATTATTACCATTAGTCACTGTTACTTAATGAAGTACAAGTGATTATGAAATACATTACGTACTGGTTCCTTTTGAGTTCCGCTCCGGCAGAACCCCGGAGTCCAAACTGGGGGGTGAAGAAGAAGGAAGGTGGTGAAAACCAGGAAGACTAAAGTGTGACTGACAGCTGGCTGTAGGGGGCGGGGCAACTTATGATTGGTTTAAGATGCAGCTCCGCATCTGGTTGGTTGGTTGTTTAAACATGGACGGCGCCAATATCCGCTGATAGCCCGACACCCGGAGACGGACCGAGGAAAAGGTCCCCGCGGGACAAATGAAGCTTCATCGAGCAGAACGTCTCCAAACGTCTTATTGATACTCGCCTCCAAATGAGAGGACCTTCCTCACGTTCCTGATTAGTCTTCATCATCTTCATGTTCTTCATTGTCTTTATCGTCTTCATCTTCTTAATCGTCTTCATCATCTTCATGTTCCTCATTATGTGAGTGTGTGTGTGTGTGTCTTGGATGTGTATCATTAGGCGTCATTAACCACAAATTATACAGAGAAGAAGAGAGAGACAGATGCTGCTGTTGGCACATTATAACCCCCCCTCCAACCTCCACCCGGAGGAAGGAGAAGAAGAAGAGAGGAGGGGGGGGGGGGGGGGGGTTATCTAATACATGTGTATTGTGATTAAAGAGCAAGCTTCAGCGTGTTGAAACCTCAGAGAAGATATCACACAAGAGGACGAGGAGGGAGGAAGGAAGGAAACTCCCTCACAGGGAGCCCCCCCCTCTCTCTCCCTCTCTCCCTCTCTCTCCCCCTCTCTCTCCCTCTCTCTCTCCCTCTCTCTCCCTCTCTCTCTCCCTCTCTCCACCTGTTAGGAGACGGACCCTCTGTGCTCACATCCACCTGTTTGTGGAGGAATCTGCTAGACTGAAAAAGGTAAGACTGCTTTATTCTGGTCTCCATCTGGTTTCTCACTGGTCTGGACTGGTCTCTAGTCTCTACTGGTCTCTACTGATCTCTTATCTGGTCTACATTAGACTCTTCAATGAGAGTTTGTTGTTTATTGAGGGACGTCATCACCTCTCTTCACATTTTGTGGGGTCTGATTTATAATGTGGACCCCCAAGACCGATGAACAGAGGAGAAGTCAGCGTAGCGCTGAGCTCTCCCAGTGCATGCTGGGAAGAGCTCCAGGGAGTCATAAGGACTGGGGAGAACGTTGGCGACTAAGATGATCACTTCAGAGCGATGAGCTCTTTACCAGCAGCGTTAATCCACAACGGCTGCAGACCAGATCGCAAATAATGTCCTTCAGAAAATCAGTACGAAACTTGTATTCACTCGCATATTTATTTATTTAGGTGATTTAAGTGATGAGTTGTGTACTTGCTGGTCTGAAGCCTCCAGTTTGACGCGTTGGCCGTCGCCATCTTGTTTTTTGTTTTGCAACCAGTAAACAGGAAGTTTAGCAATTAGCAACGAGGCTTCTGTTGTTCTTTAAACGCAACACAGTTCTTAACCAAACATAACGTATAAGTAGTTCATTATCTTTTGTTAAACTTAAGCTATTTAAAAAGAAAGGGGTGTATTTTGAAAATACTGTATTCATGTAATGAGTGAAAAATAGATTGTTGCTGAACTTCCCCTCAACTGTGAACCATCCAATCACAGCGCAGCATCGCTGGCTTCATGCTGGTTGAGTCTGTGTTAAATGTTCCGCAGCTAACGTTAGCATGTCTATGCTATGCTAGCCACTGTAGGTAGACTGCATGTATTCTGATGATAGAAACAGTTGTTGCTTTATTGTCTTCTCTTTCTTCATCTTGTAACTATATTTCATCCTGATACTTATATAACACACACATATAATATCAACTCTTTATCTGCTGCTCACTCTGACACTTATATCATTTTTTCCATTTGAATGAAATGGTATTTCCTTGGAGAGGTCAGTGAGTGACAGCACGGTCTCCATGGTAACGTTGCCCCCGACAGCTTGACATGGAAGTGAAGGGAGGGGGGCGGGGCTTAGCTTATTCTGCACATGCTCGGGTTCAAAATGAGAGCAGGCTGTCGTTGTTTAGAGCCAAAACAAGATCAACATGCTAACTGGTCATAGGAGGGGGAGGAGCCAGCTGACCATCACCATAGAAACCAGCGGCGAAAACTGACTCAAACCACGAGAGGTTATGAGTGAGCAGCATTGTTACGAGACTGATAGAACGAGAGATTACAACAAAGTATGACCAGTTCATCCTCAGCTTTAATAAAGTCAAATATTTATGTCCTGAAACACTCAACTGTGTGTGTGTGTCTACATCTATAGATGTATCTAGATCTATAGATACATCTATAGATACTTGTATCTATAGATACAAGTATCTATAGATACAAGTATAGATACATCTATAGATACAAGTATCTATAGATACAAGTATAGATACATCTATAGATACAAGTATCTATAGATACAAGTATAGATACAAGTATAGATACATCTATAGATACAAGTATCTATAGATACAAGTATAGATACATCTATAGATACATCTATAGATGTATCTATAGATACAAGTATCTATAGATACATCTATAGATGTATCTTCTAAACACAGTGTAACCAGTTCATAATTGTATGTCCCACTTCTGCCGCTATGATGTCATATCATATAAAGTTGCATTTCTTTTTAGATAAAGCAGTTATGATGGCGCTGCGGGGGGGAAAGAAGCTGAGCATCTCCATCCAGGAGCACATGGCCATCGACGTGTGCCCCGGCCCCATCCGCCCCATCCGCCAGATCTCCGCCTACTTCCCCCGCCTGTCCCCCACCTCCCCCGGCCCCACCTCCTCGCCGCTGGCCCTCAGCCCCGGGGTGGGGGGGGCTCACCTGCTGTCCCCCTTGCTGGTCCCCGGCCGGCCCAGCATGGGGGGGTCCCTGTCCCTGAACAGCAGCATGGACACGTCAGTGGAAATCACCAGCGACGACAGCGACGACTGCAGTGAGTGTGTGTGTGTGTGTGTGTGTGTGTGAGTGTGTGAGTGTGTGTGTGTGAGTGTGTGAGTGTGTGTGTGTGTTCATCTCTACGCACCTCTGGATGGTTTGACGAGACGTCAGCTAGAAAACTCTGCTCATTAAAATGCTAATTTATGCGCGTTTCATCTGGTGGTGAGAAGTTGACCAACGATGAAGTGATTAAAACTTTTTGTAGATAATTCGGTGAAATGATTCCACTTCTCGTACCTCAGTACACAAAAGCCCGGGTGAGAAAGTCCTCTTCTAATACGGGGGTTACGGTGGTCAGGGAGTGTCTGTGAGGACGGACCGCGATCGGTGACTCGTTTCTCGATTGTCCGACCTGAACACACATAATGATTGATTCAGTTATTAAATTATTCAAGTCAAAAGAGCTTTCTGAGAGAGATCGATGCCTTCTGCTCTCTCACCGGGATGGAGACCTTCTGACCAACGCCTGGTCCGAGCAGCTCTGTAGTCACTATATGTCCCTTTGTGGTCAGTTCACGTCTCCGTTGGTGTCTTGTACAGACATTTGTCTTGTTGTTGTCTTGTATAGACATTTTGCATCCGCATGTGGTGCTTCTGCATCTTTGCTGTTGCCACGCTGTTGTTCTGCAACATCTTGTGTGTTCTTGTTTGTTAAATCATGGATCAGCTCAGGGGTCCGTTTCAAGTAGGAGGTTTAACAAACTGAGTCAAACCCTGAACTCAGCTGTTCAGAGTCGGTTCAATCAGCGTTGAGCGCGTGCAGCACCACAGTATGAAGGCAGCATGAATGGAGCCACGATACTACGAGTTACCATGACAACCATTAACCCCTATTGAGCTGCAAAAACTTAATACTACACAAAGAATGTGCTCGTATGTGAGCGCGCGTCCACGATGGGGGACGTTACTTCTATGAGGTCATGGACATACCTGACGCCTGGTGCTGGTGTCCTCCCAGTGCCAGACACATGAGCCGTCCTCTTAAGGGCTCGAATCAGTTCAGATAAACCATTTGCAAACTGTTAAGGCGTCTTTTCCAGTCTCGTTGTTCAGTATGAACATTACATTGTAAAGACATTTAGAATTAGACGCAGCTTATATAGATTTGTGCTTTTGGTTGTAAAACAAGGGTTTGAAATGAGTCTTTAGGGTAAATTCCCAGAGGAAATCCCTCTGCTCACCTTTAAGGCAAAGTAGGCTAAATAATAATACATTCGTATGATCGTCTGCAGGCTTTTCTGTTTAATTACAGCTGCAGTTTTTCCTTTTTCTGCATGTTCGATGCTTCACCTCCTCATAAGTTTCCATAATTAGTTGCTGCTCAGCGGGTTAAAATATGCTGCGTGCGTCTTAAATCTGAATCAGTAGATGTGTGATGGACACCGTGGTCTACTTAAGAAAGCCGTGGACGTGCACTGATCCCAGCTGTGTGCATCTGGACTGAGTCAAGCGTCACTTTCACTTGTCCTGGATTTCTTTATGCTACTTTTGTGCAGACGGCCGTGTAGTCAGTGTGGAATCAGAACCAACAGCGTTAGACTCTAATGCTGTTGGTCAGCAGAGAGGTGCTTTGTCCAGAATCTCCTCTTTCTGCCTGTTCGGTACCTCAATGCACACAACATGCTAATTAATCAAGGTACTGTGGTTTCATGTGTTTTGGTTTGAAGCCACTCAGTCACACAAGAGACGATCTGGACTGAAGCTGATGTGCTGCTTCTGATGCACCGCCAGGCTTTCTGAAATAAGACGTGTCTCTCAGGCACTGATACGTCTTTCATTTCATTCCTTACGAAGCAGAAATAACAGCTGTCGTCTCTTTGTGGTCCTTCTGTCTCTCTGTTGTCGTCTCTTTGTGGTCCTTCTGTCTCTCTGTTGTGGTTTTGTTTCTCTTTTCGGTCTTTTCGATTTCTCTTTGGACCTTTTTTTGTCTCTTTGTAGTCATTGTGCGTCTCCACGTGTTAATTTGTTTTCTGTCCCTCGGTAGTCTACTGCAGCTCTGTTTGTCATTTGTTGTGCATCCATTTAATGGCTGTCTCTTTGTAGTTGTCTCTATTCAAATTTGACTCAGATTGCGTCTCTCCATAGTTGTGTTGGTGGTCTCTTTGTAGTCTTTGTAGTCTCTGTAACTACAGAGACTACAAGTGCCTGTTAGAAATCACTGGTTATGAATTGGTGCAAAGGTTTTTACTTTCTATGCACAACTATAAAGGCCGTTTGTCCCGTCCTCCGTCAGTCCTCCGTCAGTCCTCCGTCAGTCCTCCGTCAGTCTTCCGTCAGTCTTCCGTCAGTCCTCCGTCAGTCCTCCATCAGTCCTCCGTCAGTCCTCCGTCAGTACAGCTGAACTCCCCCCCTCGGCCCCCGAGCTTTGTGTCTCCTCGTGGTGTGTTGTGTGTCTTTGTAGTCGCCTCCTTATAGTTGTGTTGTGTGTCTTTGTAGTCGCCTCCTAATAGTTGTGTTGTGTGTCTTTGCAGTTGCCTCCTTATAGATGTGTTGTGTGTCTTTGTAGTCGCCTCCTTATAGTTGTGTTGTGTGTCTTTGTAGTCGCCTCCTAATAGTTGTGTTGTGTGTCTTTGTAGTCGCCTCCTTATAGTTGTGTTGTGTGTCTTTGTGTTCGCCTCCTTATAGATGTGTTGTGTGTCTTTGTAGTTGCCTCCTTATAGTTGTGTTGTGTGTCTTTGTAGTCGCCTCCTTATAGTTGTGTTGTGTGTCTTTTTAGTCGCCTCGCACCTCTTAATGGTTGTCTTATGTGTCTTTGTGGTTCTTTGTAGAGTTGTGTGCGTGTCTTTGGTGTCAGTGAGTTTTCATGTCCTTTCAGTCGTCTGTTTTTTGTGTCTTTGAAGCTGTTTGTGTTACTTTGTGGTCACTGATTGACGGCCAACATGAAACTGTCACGGGTGACGAACACACAGAAAACAACAGTTAGCATTAGTTTCATTTATGAGAGCTGACGCCGAAAATAGATGTTGGTTCTAATCCCCGTGAATCCCGTTTTGTTAGTACGGTCTGACGTAACTGCTCAGGTTCTGGTCCGTGTGTGTGTTGTATGAGATACTGACTGATTTTCAACATGTCATTATTATTTTGTGATCCTGCTGATGCAGAGTGTGTAATCGTGTGTCTCTCCGGCCCCCCAGCGGCTCTGGGAACGCTGGAGTTTGATCTGCGGTACGAGCGGAGCTCCAGTGAGCTGCACTGCACTGTCCTCCGGGCGAAGGTGAGGACGCGTCATAGCATCAACGTTAGCATTCACCTTCATTTCACCGAGGAGCCCGGAAGCAAAGCGCCTTAAGACACGTAAAAGTCTTAATTCTTAATCTAGGGCCTGTTCTGACTAACTGAATACTGAATACCACAGTACAACGTTGTGTCTTATAAGAATATGAAACTTGAGATTTGGCAGGCGACCAATCCAGTCTCCCGCCCGGAGGAAGCCGGGCTTGACTCAACGTTTCAGCAGTCCATAAGTTTCTGGCCCCATGGAGGGTAAAAATACGCCGTCTTAATTTCATTTGCCAGCAGCCAGATTTGAAGTCCTCCAGCGACTCCTTGAACGCGTCCGATTATCAACCTGCACCCACGTCTCCCGCTGACTGACTAGCTTCCGCTTCTCAGTCATGTGACTTCAAGAACCAATCACAACACATCAGTGGCGGCTGGTCCATAGAGGGCAGTGGGGCCATGAGCGATGGAAAAAAGAATAACAATGATACTTTTAATAAATTTGTTGGTCAATATTTGTGTTTTTGGACGTGGATTATGTACCTGGTATTATTTGTAAATCAAGATATCTGCACAAACTACATGGTTCTCCTACAGTCCTGTGCGCTGGTCTCTGCTGGTCTCTGCTGGGCTCGGCTCGGTCCCAAAGGGTCTAAGAAGCAGTCAGCCAATCACTGATGGACTTCATGAGTATACGTTGAGGTTTGGGCCCCTCGCCGCCCAACGCTCTCACACGCCGTTTAACGACATGACAAGAGCGAGACCCGACCCCAACCAGACCACATCCTTAACCCAGACCAGATCCTTAACCCACACCAGATCCTTAACCCACACCAGATCCTTAACCCACACCACATCCTTAACCCACACCAGATCCTTAACCCAGACCACACCACATCCTTAACCCACACCAGATCCTTAACCCACACCACATCCTTAACCCACACCACATCCTTAACCCAGACCAGACCAGATCCTTAACCCAGACCAGATCCTTAACCCACACCGGATCCTTAACCCGAACCAGATCCTTAACCCACACCAGATCCTTAACCCACACCAGATCCTTAACCCACACCAGATCCTTAACCCAGACCACACCACATCCTTAACCCAGACCAGACCAGATCCTTAACCCACACCAGATCCTTAACCCACACCAGATCCTTAACCCAGACCACACCACATCCTTAACCCAGACCAGACCAGATCCTTAACCCAGACCACACCAGACCAGATCCTTAACCCAGACCAGATCAGATCCTTAACCCACACCAGATCCTTAACCCAGACCACATCCTTAACCCAGACCAGATCCTTAACCCAGACCACACCAGATCCTTAACCCACACCAGATCCTTAACCCACACCAGATCCTTAACCCAGACCAGACCAGATCCTTAACCCAGACCACACCAGACCAGATCCTTAACCCAGACCACACCAGATCCTTAACCCACACCAGATCCTTAACCCACACCACATCCTTAACCCAGACCAGACCAGATCCTTAACCCACACCAGATCCTTAACCCACACCAGATCCTTAACCCAGACCACACCACATCCTTAACCCAGACCAGACCAGATCCTTAACCCAGACCACACCAGACCAGATCCTTAACCCAGACCACACCAGATCCTTAACCCACACCAGATCCTTAACCCACACCACATCCTTAACCCAGACCAGACCAGATCCTTAACCCAGACCACACCAGACCAGATCCTTAACCCAGACCAGACCAGACCACGGGTCGGGGTGAGAGGAAAGCCGCACACGGCGCTTAAGTAAAGACTTCTACACCGAGATGTTTAGCTAGCTCGTTAGCTACGTGCTAACGGCGTATATTCGTCCACATGACGTCACTGTGTTAAAGTCGCTGCCCAGCTGTGACGCACACGGGACGGTGGTGAGGACACACAACCAGGACCTGGATGAAAACAGGCACATTTTATCCAAAATAATTCATTGTGTGAAGTTTTGTGGGTCTTTTGAGTTTGTCTCTCCTCAACACACCAGGTTCATTAGGTGCATCTCAAAACATGTTCTAATAGATTTATATAAATATATTTTTATTGTAATATATTATCCTTTCTTTTATGATATTTATAATAGTTACGATATGATAGCAAAATGAATCATACTGGGATGTTTACTAAAACTGATTGGCCCGACTAAAAAAGAAATCCACTGAGGCTGATTATTCATGAGAAACCCAGTCTACTACTTTTATTTCTGAACTATTGGATTTGTTGTTAAATTAAGATTTTAAAGAATTCTTAGAGGATCTAAAGCTCATAAAAGTGAAGCTTTAGTTGTTAAAATACACGCCAGTGCTAATGCTAATCACTAGCAAATGTCTAAGCTTGCTATGAAAGCTCACATTTTGAAGCTTGTACCGTATTTGTCCCTGATGTAGACTCTTTAAAGCACTCATATCCAAACGTAAGAAATAGTAAGCTTGCTAGCAATTAGCGATTTTCGATTAGCATAAACTAATTGAAAGGTCACAGCTGTCCCTAATGATGATCTGATTTTTGCAAAGCAGTCAAGATCTGAATCCGTCGTTCATCTTCATCAAGTTTGGCTTTTAAACTCGGGTCGCAAACTCATTAAAACAATTAGTACAGAATTAATAAATCCGTCTCTCTGCCATCAGTGCAAATGTCAAAGCTGTTGAATCAAATCTGGGAGTAATGTCTTACGCTGCCGACGAGGTCCTCGGGTCGAAACCGTGTGTTTAAACGCTTTAATGACTGTCTAAATCCTCTGGCTGATTTAATTTAACTGCAGTGGAGATCTAAGAGTACAAAGTCATTAATAATAATCTGTTTAAAGTCTCAACTATTAGAAACATGTTGTCTTAAATAAAATGAAATCATGATTTATTATCATGGGACTGTGAATCAGGGAAACTCTGACGGATCTTCAGGAAGTTCATAACATAATTAATAACATTCAAATAGTTATTTTGTATTAAACGCAGGCCTGAGTTCTACTTCTAGTCAGTCCTGAGCAGAGCTCACTGTGACTGTTAATATGTGTTCCTTGATATTCTGCTAAAACCCAAACTACGTTCAGTTAATGATTGTTTTCAAGCTAATATGAGTTTGAACTTCCTCTTTTGAGGATCCGAGGTCACCAAAGCAGGACCTTCTCACCTCTTTTAGAAGGTGGTGTTCAGGTGTACACCGAAAGGCGATCAATGAAAACACGGACGCTCCGATCAGCTGATCAACCAGAAACTAGGACCATTACACCTGTGATTGGCTCCTCAGAGGGACCAGACACAGTAATGCTCCGTCTTCTGTCCCCAGGGCCTGAAGTCGATGGACTTCAACGGCTTGTCCGACCCTTACGTGAAGCTTCACCTGCTGCCTGGAGCCTGTAAGGTGAGACGACCTTCATTGACCCAACGATGGCTGAGATATTAATAACAATCAAAGAGATTACAATTCACATTACAGATTTGATGTGTCTCTCTCCATTGGTCCTAACTGTCTCTATGTCCTAACTGTCTCTATATCCTAACTGTCCGTACCTCTGTCCTAACTGTCTCTATGTCCTAACTGTCTCTGTATCCTAACTGTCCGTACCTCTGTCCTAACTGTCTCTTTGTCCTAACTGTCTCTATGTCCTAACTGCCGTACCTCTGTCCTAACTGTCTCTTTGTCCTAACTGTCTCTATGTCCTAACTGCCGTACCTCTGTCCTAACTGTCTCTTTGTCCTAACTGTCTCTATGTCCTAACTGTCGGCCTCTCTGGGTTCTTCAGGCCAATAAGCTGAAGACGAAGACGATCCGTAACTCTCTGAATCCGGTCTGGAATGAAACACTCACTTACGTCGGGATCACAGAAGAGGACATGCACAGGAAGACACTCAGGTGTGTGTTTCATCTCCTCTGGGACTGATTACTTTGATTTATTTACCTGTCGGGACAGAAACCATCTGAGTCAACGTCCTCCATATAAAAGTAGAATATTCGGTAGAAAAGAGACAACGAGTGTGCTGCTCAGATTTCACCTTTTGACTTTTTTAAGGCTTTAAAAGCTTTAAAACTACTTTTGGTCCATCAGTCCCGAGAGAGCTTCTTGTTCTTCTATCACTGTGAGGAAACATGTTTGGTCTTTTTCTTCTAAATGCTGAAACTTTTAGGGTTAAAGTTAGAATCTGTCAACTTTCTTAATTCCTGTCTCCTTTCCTGTCTCCTCATCTCTTGTGTCTCCTGCTCCCTGCAGGTTGACCGTGTGTGACGAGGACAAGTTGACTCACAATGAGCTGATTGGAGAATCCAGAGTTCCTCTGAAACGAGTGAAACTCGATCAGACGAAACATTTCCACACCTGCCTGGAGCACCCGCCCCCGGTATTTCCCTTAGCTCCTCCTTCACTACGCCTCAGAGGTACAAGTTGTACTTTATAGTGTGCTACGCCTCAGAGGTACAAGTTGTACTTTATAGTGTACTACGCCTCAGAGGTACAAGATGTACTTTATAGTGTGCTACGCCTCAGAGGTACAAGTTGTACTTTATAGTGTGCTACGCCTCAGAGGTACAAGTTGTACTTTATAGTGTGCTACGCCTCAGAGGTACAAGTTGTACTTTATAGTGTACTACGCCTCAGAGGTACAGCTTGTTGCAAGATTCTTCTACTTAGGTGAGGTTTTGAATGTCCGTACGTCCTCTCTGTTTTCAGATACCCTCTCCGACCGCCATGGGCGAAGCCCTTCGTGGAATATCGTGTTACTTAAGAGAGGTGAGAACCTCGCTGGGCTCTGATGAGGAGACACGAGACCAACCGCGGTCCTTAACATCAGCAGGTTGAATCCATTAGCAGCTGTTAAATAACTACAGCATTTCCCACTTGGTGAATGAAAAGGTAAAGAGAGCAAATCCTTCAGAGGAAGTCGTTAAAAAACAGGAAACAGTTTAAATACTGTTTCCTGTTCTAATACAATTGTATCAAATATGTTATATTTTGAGGACTCTTAAAGATCCACATCTGTCAGAATAAGTCTTTATTCACGGTGGACGTCTGTTGTTGTGGCAGGAGAAGAAACAGCTGTCTGGTCTCAGGTCCGTCCCGTCGGCTTCAATCCGCTCAACCCAAAGTTTTAGTTTGTGATTCACGCTGTGACTGAACGGGGTTTTGTTACAGAACAAATATTGAGTTGAGTTTAATTGAACCGCCTATTCGGCTTCATCTAGACAGACCTCCAGAGAGGCGTCTGCCTCCCACAGCGACTCCTTACAGCTGGAACATCTGGCCTGGGTTCCATTTCATTGCTTCTGTCTGAGTGATGTAACAGCAACATTGTATTCAATATGTACAGTTTATACAAAACTAATCTCTGTCCTCATGATTCTATTTTTGTGTTCTTTCTAAAAAAAGAGATATTTATTGATCACAGAGCTAACAGCTAACAGGGCTAATACATCTCACCCAGCGTTCTTACCTTAAGAAACTAATGAATGAAGATAATCAGCTTCCCCTTCAGTGTTTTAAGAATAAACGAACAATCATGTTAGATAATTAACAGTGCTGCTAATTGGTGATAAGAGTACAGGCACTATACTGGAGCCTCTATTTTACCCTCTCGTTTGGTTTGATTTGCTACATATTAAACTATATTAAGCATAGTGTAATTGTGTGTTACTCTTTTTTCTGTTAAATTAATTAGAAAGCAGAAGAAGCGAATGTATTAATGGTGGAAGCAGACAGAGAGAAACTCAATAGACCAAAGGCAAAATCAATAGTTTCATAAGCAAAACTAACAAATAATTTATTCTCAGACTTTCTCAAACTTTATTTTTCCAATGCAAGAAATTTGCTCTCGAAACATTTTTTGTTTGTTTGCACAAATCTACCTTCATACACACTCAGCCAATGGAGACGAGTCATCAGTCTGCTCCTCGTTTCTGTGCAGAACTCAATGTTTTAATTAGAAGACAAACACAGCGAAAAATAAGACTGAGACGTAATAAAATAAAATAGGGATTAACTTTGGACTCGTTGTTCTAACACGTACATGTTCGCACACACATCTACATTCAGAGCGGCGGTGGCGGGCGGAGTAGAGCGGGAGCACCGGGAACTGCAGGGTTTCAAACCCCGGCTGCTCCATGTCCCATGTCCAGGTGTCCCTGAGCAAGACACCCAACCCCTAAGCGCTGCCCGGGCATAAAGTCGCTTTGGACGCTGTGTGATGCAATAGAACATCAGGACTTGGGGTCTTAACTTGTTGGTGACTGGAGGCACGTCTGGTTTTCTTATTTTTGACATCAAATTAAAAGCAGCAGCTTTGTTCGAATTCTGTTCAAATTTGCCAATCAGACCTTTTCGTTCTCTCTTTTTGACTCTTTTGAATCATAGCATTTGTTTCCATGGCAACGGTGGCCCACCAGCCGCTGCAGATCTGAACACTTGTTGGTAGAAAACAATACTTCAAGTTCCAATTAGACCTTGTGAGGCGTGTGGGGGGTATTAGTTCTGCCTGTTGGTGGCTCATTAGTCGTCACCTCGGAGATCCTACAGGTGCTTCACCCTTGGATGGAGCCGACGGGGGCTTAGATGAAAGACTCGCTGCCCGATCAGCTCGAAAACTAAAAGTATTTCCCATCCGTTCGCCCATGTGAAGGAGGTACAGCAGTGGGCTTTATTGGGAATGTTTGGCTAGTTTTCAGTAATCGATGGTTCCCCCTCTAAGCTCTCATGTTTCCTTTGAGCAGTTTTAATTATCCAGTATTACTCTATCTAATTAACGTATGGCAATCCTGGTAGTATTCATCGTTGATCTCCTGCACCAATGTGTAAGATGTTCTAAGACAACGGTGACAGAGTACTTGTACTTGTACTTGTACTCCACTAACTCTCAGAGGAGAGAGAGAGACTCACTCCGACCAAACGCCACCAATCTGCTTCTTTCCTCGTGTTCGTCGGTGGGAGGTCTTTAGGAAACACTTCATGATGCCTTTTTACTTCGATTCATGCAGACGGAATGTAAAAAGCTTTAAAAGGAGCAGTGAAAGGTCAAAGCGAGAGATGCCGCTGCGTCTGGTGAAGCGATTGATTGACGGACCACGGGGTGAAACCATGACAAAGCACAAACCGACGCAGACCGACACATGGATGGAAGAGAAGCTTGTGAAATTGTGAACTGGTCTTTCGTTCTTTCCCCTCGGTCTTCTGTGTGGGAGAAATATTCTTTAAAAGCTGGTGTGTAAATGATTGTTTAGCAGCTGAAGGTGTCCGAGGAGGGACCTCATGGTGCTCTCATCACCCAATCTTTGACAAACAGCAAAAAAAGTATGTTTTGGTAACAAACTTACCAGGTATTCCTCAAATGTCTTCAATCACTCTGAAAATATGAAACACAATTCGTTGTTCAAACTTATCTGATCAAAGTAATTTCACTACTCTAAAATGAACGGACCAACCAAACTAATCGGACTACTCTGATCGGACCACCTTAATCCAACCAAACCAATCGGACTACTCTGATCGGACTACCTTAATCCAACCAAACTAATCTGACTACTCTGATCGGACTACCTTAATCCAACCAAACCAATCGGACTACTCTGATCGGACCACCTTAATCCAACCAAACCAATCGGACTACTCTGATCGGACTACCTTAATCCAACCAAACTAATCTGACTACTCTGATCGGACTACCTTAATCCAACCAAACCAATCGGACTACTCTGATCGGACCACCTTAATCCAACCAAACCAATCGGACTACTCTGATCGGACTACCTTAATCCAACCAAACTAATCTGACTACTCTGATCGGACCACCTTAATCCAACCAAACTAATCTGACTACTCTGATCGGACCACCTTAATCCAACCAAACTAATCTGACTCATGTGACTTTGTCCTCAGTGGGAGAACGAGCAGCTGCACAGCCTGGAGGAGAGAGGTCGTCTTCTTCTCTCGCTACAATTCCAGCCTCCTGTGGGTTTAGAGGAAACCAACGTAGGAGGAGGAGGAGGTGACCGGCGTCGCAGCGGGGGCCTCTGTGTGGGCGTGAGGCGCTGCGCTCATCTGGCAGCAATGGACGTCAACGGGTTCTCCGACCCCTACGTCAAAATGTGAGCGCCCGAGTGTCTGCAGGTTCTCCACCAGAAGAGAAATCTATCAAACTTCAACCAATCGCCTCCAGGGGGCACTTTACTGTTTCGACTGTTCTAGTGTTGAAATCTTCTTATCTCTTCTTCCCCTCCTGCTCTCCTTCTCTTCTTTCTTCTCCTTCTTCGTCTCTTCTCCTGCCTCAGATACCTGAAGCCTGATTTACAAAAGAAATCAAAACACAAAACGGCGGTGATGAAGAAGACCCTCAACCCTGAATTCAACGAGGTGAGAACCTGTGTGAAGATAGCCAGTGTCCTCTGGTAGCTGTATGAAATCTGTTGTCTTCATCTGGTTAACTAGAGTATAATCGAATCAATTATTAAGTCCAACAAACCCAAACATGTCGGTAAAATGTGTGGTGTCACCGAGGTGTTTTTCCCTCTGAGTCATATGGCTCCTTTAGAAGATGGTAGGAAAACAGAACGGAACATCCTCCCGATGAAACCACATCCCAGAAGCAGCTGGTTCTTCTTGCTTTGACTCGCCTGGTGTCCTGAATGTGGACCTCTTTGTGTGTCCCGTCCCTGCAGGAGTTCTTCTACGAGATCTCCCTGCCGGAGCTGGCCCACAGGATGCTGGAGGTGACTGTGTGGGACTACGACCTGGGACGCTCCAACGACTTCATAGGTAGGTGAGACCTACAGGAAGCTCTTCCAGAACGTGTGGAGATCAAAGTCAGCTGCTACACCCTAAGCAATCACAGCTCCTTTGTTATTGTAATAAGGAAACAAAGAGATGCCTTCAGGACCTTCAGCTCATGTTTCGTGTCCTGAAGCAAAATCATATTGAGGTGACACCACAGGAGAGTACGGTGGCTCTCAAGTGCAAATCACACCGGCGTTAGCTTCTTACGGAGAGGGTAGGGCCTTATAGCAGAGGGTTGGACAGACAGTCCGTCTGTCCAGACAGTCCGTCTGTCCAACCAGACCGTAAGAAGCTAACGCCGGTGTGATTTTCACTTCAGAGCCACCGTAGGAGAGGCTGCTCGCTGATTCCTCTGTGCATGTCGGCACCAGTAGAATAATGGAACGAGGCTGTTAGCAGCAGTTAGCAGCCTGTAGTCCACTACCTGGTACCAGGTAGGAACCAGGTAGACGCTGTGGCGGCTCTGAGAATAACCACACCCTTGCCGCTCTTAGGCGGCGTCTGCCTGAGCTGTCGCTCGCAGGGCGACGGCCTCCGTCACTGGATGGACTGCCTGAAGAACCAGGGCAGCCGGGTGGAGCGCTGGCACATCCTGACCAATGAGCTGCCCCGGACCCTCGGCCACGACTGACCCGCCGGCCTCCAGTGGTCATGGGGAGCCTTTTATTCCGGGGCGGACCGGAGTGGTGGATGAGAGGGTTTTGTGGCAAGAGACGCCATGACGGGCAGGGAGGGGGCGTGTCTTCATCATCTGCGCCCGTCTTTGGCACTCGATTAGGGTGGAGCTCACCAAGATCAAAGAGAAACCACAGACTTGTTCTCAAAATGTAATTGCATGTTCTTTGTTCGTAAAACAAAGGAAACAGTTCTATTTACGTCTCTGTTACAGTCAGAATAGCAGCTAAAGTTTCTCTCTATCAGTGATGTTTCCATTCGATTGTCAGGAGATTTTTTTTTAACCTGAACCTTTTGCAAATGTGTATTCTAGGTGAGTTTTGACTTCCAGCATCAGAAGCCTCACCGACCAAATATAATGCATGATTATCCACGTAGTCACGACAAAAGACACACAAAGACCAGTTGGGGGATCAGTATTGATTTAAAGTTTATATATTGTGATTATAGTGTTGATTTGCCCGTCTCTCAAACTTCTGTATTTATTTATCACCCAAACGGTAGGAAAAGGTCATGTTGTGCGTGGAGGTGGTAGAAGTCCACGTACAACATGACTACGCATCGGGCTTAACGTGCGTGATGATGGTGTCGTCTCCCTCTGAAGCTACAAGGGGAACCAGAAGGTTTTAACACCTTAGAGCCGTTAGCTAGTCCCACTTGCTGGGTTCCATATTCCCACCATCAGCCAGCTGCGTGGAAGCCAGCAGTCCCTCTGAGCTTCAGTCAGAGCAGACGCCCAGACTTCAACCGCAGCGTCAGCCTTCGCTGAGAGAACTTCATGGTACAAAACACACCGGGGCGCCATTTTTGGGTTGTCTCTAATTACGTAGTTTCCGTCTCACACTCCTACGACCGTTTTTTTTATTGGACGCAATATTCAAACAGGAATACAAACATATTTGTTGACCTCTTATTCTTTATTAAGGTCCCATAATCGAAGGGGCGGGACTTCACCTCTCCGGACACATTGTAGCAACGTTGCCCGTTGCTAAGTCCCGATTGGATCTTTTCTGTCGCGGGGAGGGGCTTAGCCAATCGTCAGAAGGTCTTAAACTCATCAGCTTCCATTTCTAACTTGCTCTGGCTAAACATTTCTATTGCACCCCTCGGTGAAAAAATAAACGCATCTTATTGTTGCCATGACGATGCGGGTGATGATGTATCAAGTGGTTCTTCCTGGATGTTGCATGATGCAATATGTTGATATACTTCATATCTCTGTACTCCTGCTGCCTGTTTTCTTATTCAAAGTGCATCCAGGTGCGACTCTCTTTCTTCTACAGCGACTGAATGTAGGAATGTGTCTTTGTGTGCGACATCGTTGTTTACACGGATGTGTTTCCTGTTGCTATCAGCTGTTTGTGTATGATGCAGCAATAAATATGGAATGCACAGAGGACCGCGTGTGTGTGCGTGTGTGTGTGTGTGTGTATTGTTTGTGGGTCACTGCTGCCCCCTGACGGCCACAGCCCACAACTACAGCTCCACCACGAGGATGAAGGTATTTAAGTCCTGCAGAACCAGAATACTTTAATGTTCAGTCAGTCATCTTCTCTACTGCTCATCCTTGCACACGGGCCGGTACAACTCGCAATGGCAAAAATGTTCCATTGAACGAACAAGGTAATAGATGCTGGGACGGTGTGACCATGATGAAGAAGTGAGCTGGAGTGTCTCCTGTAGAGACCTCCTGTAGGTAGAAGAGCTGCCACGTGGTGAGGAGGAAGGTTCTTGGCCGTCTACTGAGCACCGAGCTGTTCTGACCGTTTTTCCCTTGCAAGGGAATAAACGGAGAGAGATACTTGACTCAGAGCCCTGTTCTTATTTACAGATTGTCTGAGCAAAATCTCCCGCAACAAACGGTCCGTCCACAGGTAAATATCATCGGCCCATCATAGCTGGAGAAAAGCCACCTGCACCACCACAGCCCCACAGGATAGTCCACATCGTCTGCACTTTTATATTCTGACTCAGGACAATGTCAAACACATCAACAGGTACTGAAGTACTGTGATGTATCATTGTGCATATTTACACTGTTCTGTGGTTAAGATCTGGAGAAGAGTACTACAAAGTAATACTAAATACGTTTACTTTAGAGAGAATTCAAACTTAATGGAGAATGTGATGAAACAACAGATGACGGCGGCGGCCTCCGTGTGGCTGAAGTTGACTTCAGTATGAAGGATAAGCACTTTACGGATGGATGGAACTAAATGAAGGTGGGAAAACTTTATAAATATTCCCGGTTTATCAGACATGATGAACAATAAAACTGGGTCAATTATAAAATCGGAATCATAAAAGTTCATGAACATTTATTTTGTCTAAAAACAAACAGGATGTGCCACATCAACACAAAATACCCATAATCACACGGATCAACGACGTCCGGTCCGTTTCCCAGCATGCCTCACTAGAGACACATGAATAATGGCATGAGGACGTCTCACATGGTACACCCAGAGGACACTGAGAGGAGACAAGGAGGCAAGAAATAGAGAAAGGAAAAGGAAAAGGTGACTGAGATGTCGTCCCCACGTGGCAAGTTAGTAAATGAATAATTGAATATATTAACCCTCCCAAACTAAAGAAAGTGTGCAGGAGACTCCCAGTAGGAACCATTTGCTTGGGTGTTCGTCGACCTTTAGATGCTAAAGAGGTCAACTGCTCGCAGGTCCTCAAAGGTTTCTTCTTCTACAACAGTATCACCAACATTGCCGTTAGCTTGGCGTCTTAGCTGGCTAGCTAACTCATCTATCTTCCAAGTGTTAGCTAGCTAGCTAGCTAAATAAGGTATTTTCCAGGTGTAACCCTATTTAGCTAACTAGCTAACTTAGCTAGCTGACGTTACATAGCTTCAATAGCTAACAAACGTATGTATCTATTATGTCAAGGGACAAAATATTTATTGGTCATTGAAATAAAAGCTGTAACCATCAGTTCAATCTGCAACACAAAATGAGCCAATACATCAACAATGACGATAAATCATAGACTGTATTGATTAATAAACGGAACCAATGAAGAAGACTCTAATGAAGTGATAAGTACTGCATATCAATACAACGTTAAGGTACTTGAGTATTGAAACTTTCTACTTTATTCTAGTAACCTATTTGGATTATAGATTATTAAAAAATATATTTGTAATATTTGAAAAAGTAACAGCGTTTTAACATTTAGGGGCAGTACTTGATTATAACACGTAAAATACTGTTTCCTTCCCTCCAGTGTATTAATACCATAACTTTACTCTCTCATGTTTCTACAGGAACACACACACACACACACACACACACACACACACACACACACACACACACACTTCTCTGAACAGTTCACGTTTAAAAAACTCGAAGGAGAAGTTTGTTTAGTTAGTTTTTTTATCCTGACCTACATTCAGGTCAGAAACACGTCTGTGAAAGAAACAAAGATACAAAACCCACGTTGAACAATTGAGATGTAAACGAAAGCCCAAAGTCCGTCTCTCCCCCATCTAGTCATATCTAAACTATAAATTAATTCTAACCCTTTTCTCCCTCATCCATCTTTAATGATTTCGTTGTGTAGCACTGAGACACCAGCGATCTGCACCGTGACAACGGGTCCTTTCCTCCTCTGCCGCCGCGTGGAACACAATGTCGCTTTAAGTTAAAGGTGCTGAATCGGATTCAGAGCATCAGCTGCCTCGCTAGCAGTGCTAACAGTGCTAGCAGTGCTAACAGTGTTACCCTGAGGGTGGACGCTACGCTTTATAACCAGCGGTGAATCTCACACGGATCGATATAGAACCCGCCCCCGGGCTAGGCGCTCGCCACGAAGCACATGTCCCTCTTCAGGTGTATCTGCAGGCCGCTGCCGCTGCCGAAGCTCTTGGAGCAGCGGACGCAGCGGTACGGTTTATCCCCCAAATGCGTGCGCTTGTGCTTCTTCATGGTGTCGCCGTCGCTGAAGGTGCGAAAGCAGTACGGGCAGCTGTAGGGCCGCTCCCCCGTGTGGATGCGCAGGTGGCGCCGCAGGTTCCCCCTCTGGCTGAAGCTCTTGGAGCAGAAGGTGCAGCGGTGCGGCCGTTCGCCGGTGTGCGTTCGCAGGTGGCGCCGCAGGTCCGCCGACTGTGCGAAGCTCTTGCAGCACCAATCGCAGGCGTAGGTCTTCCTCTTCTGCTCTAGGTGGAGGCGGAGCCCGCCGCTGTGGCCAAAGGCCTCACCGCAGCGGGCGCAGCGGTGGACGAGCTCGGGGACGCGGCCGGCTGCCGCGGCCGCCTCCCCCTGGCTCCTCTTGTGTCGGAGGGCCTCGCGGTGACCCGGGCGCGTTGCCGCCGGCGACTGTTCCCTCGAGACGCGAGTCGCAGAGTCCGCGAGACCTTCGGGTTCGCTCAGCTCGGGGTCCTCGGGTTCGCTTTTTATCCGAGCCGGGCCCGGCGGATCCTCCCGGAGGGCGGGGGCTTCCACGTGGATTCTAGGAGCCGAGGAGGCGGGAGGATTCAGGGACGAGTGAGACGGAAGAGGCGGAGCGTCGCCATACGCCTCACTCCCGGGATCCGGCTTCAGCGCGGGCTCACGGAACTCGGCTGCCATCTTGTCTCCTGGGAGGGGGGTCGGCCCGGGAGCCGTCTGGCTCTGGACCATCAGCAGCTGCACAGAAACCACCTGCTCGCGGGTCGGCTCGGCCACGGGCGGTCTGGGCGGATTTGGGGGGGAGTCGGGCCTCGGTTCTGGATCACGCTGCTCGGGAGATGCAAAACGAAGGCTGGACCGGGTCGACCCTGAACCGACACAGAACAACGATCAATACAGCCATCAAACAGAATCAGCACATCATTGATTGATTGATTGATTGGTGTCTAAACCGTGTGGAGTTCAACATTAACCACATTCTGTATCAACACTTCCGGGTCGTAGGACCACTTCTCACTGATCGTGTCGCTCTATTGTCAGAATGACATTTGATGCTCGGAAGGAAAAAACGGAAGTAACCTCCTGCTTGTTAGAAAAGACACATTTGTCGTGAAATGTCGACCGTGTATGTTGAAGTCAAGCGAGCCGAATTTTAGAGCGGGTCCCGCGTCAAACGCACAGACGACGGAGTCTAAGATTCTGCCGCCATTTAACGTCAAGTCGCTACAAACAACCAGAACTCGCGTATTTGTCAGCGCGGTTCGCGCGGCGCGCGGCTCGGCCCTTACGCAGCCACTCCGTCCCGGCCTCCAGCAGCAGGAGGTCCCGCAGCTGCTTCCGGAGGCTCTCGTTCTCCCGCCGGGTCCTCGCCGTCTCCTCCCGGTACTCCGTCACCGTGTCCTCCACCACGCCCAGGATCTCCTTCACCACGACCGCCAGCCGCTCCGTCAGGTAGGCGTTCAGTAGCTGCAGCTTGGTCATCTTGGAACCATGAATGGCTGAGGCCGCGTCCACACCGGAAACCCAACGGGAAAACAACAAATGAAACCGGACGCGGTGTTCGTTCCTTCAGAATAAAAGCCTTTGTTTTTAGGGCCCGCGCCCGATGAGCTGTCAAAATCGGTCCTGGAAGGATGTATTGAAATTATTTTTCTGAGATATTTTATAACCCCACAAATTCTGAAAAAATGACCAATTATTATTAACCTTTTTTATGACGTTTTTTGACCCAATATATTTAGACTTATCTTCAAAATAAACCAGTATCTCATGGTGGACTATGAAGGGAGATTTTTTGAGAGTAAACATTTTTGTTTTGCAGCCAAACACTCTGGTTTTATAAGTAAAACGAACATATCATTTATTCTCAGTTTATGTATTTTACTTACAAACTTGATTTTTGTTTGCAATCCAAGACATTTGCTCTCCAAAATAGTTTTTTTGTTTGCATAATAAATACACAAATCTACCTTCATAGACAACCACCATCAGATAGAACCACGTCACATGGAACCACCATCAGATAGAACCACGTCACATAGAACCACCATCAGATAGAACCACGTCACATAGAACCACCATCAGATAGAACCACCATCTGATAGAACCACGTCATATAGAACCACCATCAGATAGAACCACGTCACGTAGAACCACCATCAGATAGAACCACATCACGTAGAACCACCATCAGATAGAACCGCGTCACATAGAACCACCATCAGATAGAACCACGTCACACAGGTCTGTGTGGACATGTTACATGTTACATGTATGTAATTACCTGCAGTGTGCTGCATGAGGACACGTCTCCGCTGGTAACTCGCTGTGAGTGACGGCAGCAGCCGACAGGAAGCGGACAGTCAACGCTCTGATTTCCTGCCTCTTTACTAAAAATGTTCAAAACCGTTTTCAACGGAAGAGTTCCGCGGTACCTTTCTCGTACCGGTACACCGTGTAACACTACACTCAACCAACGGTCAAAGAAATGTATGAACTGATGTCTCATCTCCTTGTTGGTGTCTTTCCAGAAAGAGCTCGGTTTATTCCAGCGTTGCTGCTCCAATAAATCTGAATCAACTTCATCTGGATCTCCAGTGTGTTCTATGGGTGTGTTACTGAAGGTCCCTGGTCTGTGAGGACGTGCGGGTCCTCATCTGGAGTCAGACAGATACAGTCAGTGACTCAGAGAATACTCAGGAGGAAAGATTCTCCTTCACAGGACCTGACTGTTAACTTTGAGACTCCGTGTTAACGTCCACTCTGACTGCAGGAATCTCGACGTGACGTCGACAGCCGACTCTCAACATCACTACAACACCATCCTGTAGATACTCGCTCTACAACATCAGGAGACACGTCCTCTTCTCACGCAGAAGGTACTGATTCAGGCTCTGGTCGTCTCTCTCCTGCATATTTTTGACCAGACATATTTTGACATTTAATAATATTTTTTGATGACAGAAACGCACGGCAGCATCAACCAGAATCTCCCCACAAGGTGCGAAGACATGTGAGCGCCCGACCTTTGCTGCCCGCTGCTTATGATTTATTCCCACTCCTAATCTGCCCCTTAACAATCCAAAAAACCTCAAATCAAGTCCCATTTACTTATCTTAAGGTAATAAACGTGATAACGATCAAATAATACATACAATTGTTTAAATGTATGTATATATCTATATATATACAGCATATACACAACTGTATGTATGTAGAGTTCATGCTGTTATTGATCCAGACACTAAACATGGAGTACAACATGTACATGAACAGGTAATATAATGTGTGGTAGTAAACGGTGAATGGTGCATTGTTGGGTTTCTGCTCTGTCAGCAGAGTCTCAGCAGGATGGGGACAGAAAAAAGGTGCAGTAAGTCAATGGTAGAAACAAGGTAATACAGGAAGTGGGCTAGGGCTCCTTCAAAATAAGAGGGCTTTTCTCTTTCTTTGATGCTAGGAGAAGAAATTGATGACGACTCATAAGGACATTTGTGGATTATTCCTCTCTGTAAATGCTCAATTACACAATGTATTTTGTAGTAAGCATGTAAAATACATAAACAAAATGCTTATATTAATGTTTTAACATGTATATATAGTTTACATTTCACCTGAATCTCGTTTATCCTCAAAGCTCTTCTTTATACCTTTCATGAGAAAACATTTATGAATCTACTTTTTACAACCACAAATGTTTTTATATATCGATAATACTTATTGCTTTCATCATCAGTAGATTTCCTTTTCTTCTGGATATAATTTTACAATTAAATGTCTATATTTCTATATAGAACATAACTCACCCAAAGAATAATACTGAGCCTTTAATTTGAAAATGAATTTCAGTCAGTGGTTTTAGTTTCAGGGAGCTTCACACCGGTGGAAGATGGAGATGAAGGAAGCTACTGTAGTGCACACACACACACACACACACACACACACACACACACACACACACACACACACACACACACACGCAGTCTTGGCCCCCCCCCCCCCCTCCTCCTTTTCCGATCTTGCAGTGGAACAGGCAGAAAAGCTGCTGCAGCGACGTCCCACCGCTCTGCATCAAAGGAAAGAAGCAGCACCACGATCCCGACCAAAGACCCAGTTCACATTCATCTAGAAGAAGCTCCATCCATCAGATCCCTGCCGTCTCCTTCCTGCAGCGCTGGTTGTCGATGTGAAACCTCTGGACCTGCAGCAGAGACACCATGAGGGACTAGGACCAGGTGAGGACCGTGTCTCCTGTCCCGCGGGACGTCTGTTCCGGTGGGTGTGTCGGACTGCAGCGCGCCTCCCGTGTGTTCGCTGCAATGTGCACGCGATGTGTCATTATGGGTCAGACGTGCCGTCTTTAGGAGCATCTCCCCGGCTTTTATTCTTTGAAGCACAAGCAGAACCCGTGGATGTGTATTCTTTAAACTCCTGTTTGCATTTTAAACTGTGGGTTTTGTCTCAGCGCGGAGAAGCCGTCCCTCGGTTAACATTCGTGTCCTCGCAACAAAATATGAAATATTCATAATAATCAGAAAGAGGTTTTATCCTGGGAGATGAGATCGTTACTATTACCCCATCAATCAAATATTCACCTCCAGTTTATGTATAAATACTCAAATAATGAGATGAATAACAGATGATGAAGATCTTCCTTCCTTCTCCTTCGTTTTACAGCGCTGGAAAGTACATGTAATCAAGTACAAATCTGAAGTACTTTTACTGTATTCATGGTACTTTTTACTTCTATTTACCTTTTTAAAGCGTCGTCAATCGTTGTAAAGGTGTCACTATTATACACACATACACACACACACATATATATATATATATATATATGTGTGTGTGTGTCAATACCAAGAGGAGGAACCAGAGAGGAAGAACCAAGAGAAGGAACCAAGAGACGGAACCAAGAGGAGGAACCAGAGAGGAAGAACCAAGAGAAGGAACCAAGAGACGGAACCAAGAGGAGGAACCAGAGAGGAAGAACCAAGAGGAGGAACCAAGAGATGGAACCAAGAGGAGGAACCAGAGAGGAAGAACCAAGAGGAGGAACCAAGAAGAGGAACCAAGAGGAGGAACCAGAGAGGAAGAACCAAGAGGAGGAACCAAGAAGAGGAACCAAGAGGAGGAACCAGAGAGGAAGAACCAAGAGGAGGAACCAAGAAGAGGAACCACAGAGGAGCTAAGTAGGAGCATAGAAGCTCCTTTCCTCAGCACTAGAGAATAGAACAGCTCTCCTCTTCACTCGGTGAGGAACGTTCCTAAGAACAAGAAACAAAGCAGCTCTCTGCTGAACTCTGAGATGAAACGGTCCTAAAGATCAAAAAGGTCAAAGTGCATTTTCAAGAAGTAGCCACATGTGATTTCTGGTCTTGACCTCCAAGGTCAAAGGTCACCTGAGTCCTTTGTCTTTGAATCCTCAAACAAATCCAAGCCGTCGTACTTGATATAATAATAATGTTTATTATTTATTATTATTATTTATTAATTATGTCAGAATTAGTTTTATTCTAATCAATAATCAACATGATCAGCTGATCAGCTGATATATCAACAAATATGCTCCAATAAATCAAAATATAGAAGACATCGATTTCATTAACAGAGAAAATACATTGAACAAATAGTCTTATTTTATATTATTATTATGTAGTAGTACTAGTAGCTGTAGTAGTAGTAGTACTAGTAGCTATAGCAGAAGTACTAGTAGTAGCTGTAGTTGTGGTATTAGTACTAGTAGCTGTAGTAGTAGTGGCTGCAGTAGTACTAGTACTCGTAGTAGTATTTAATAGGAGTGGTGTTTTAATGGTTCTCCGTCAGGGACTCACTTAATCGCCTTAACGAGACTCAGCAGGTTAATTGATGTTTAGACCCCGCCCCCTTTAGTGACCCTGGGGGGAGTACGAATACCACACTGTGAGAAGGCTGCACTCCAAGTACACCTGTACCAAACCGACCCTAAGAAAACAGTGATTGTACAACGGCACCAGATGTGAAGTACAAGTACCTTGAGTTTATACTAAACATATTCAGAACCCCTGAGCTCTCATATAATCAGAGTACACACTTTGTACTTCTCCTCTACTTCATATCGAAAAATGTTTCGGCTTTGATGTGAAATATCAATAATTATAGAAGCTGGCGTGTAAGGAGTACTGCTGATAGTACTTGCAGCATCGCAGTACTTCTGTGAGGATGAACAGAGATTTATGTGATTTTCTTACAAAGGTCGTTTGAAGAAGTGGTTTTAAATGACGCTGCATCAGCTGACAAAGTGCTGATCTGGGGTCTGTCTGCTGAACACACGTTTTGTGTGAAGAGACACCAGATGAGACAATAAATCAAGTCTAAAATTAAACGATTAAATAAGAAATAAAAAATTCTCTTGTTTAATCCGTGTTTTTACCTTTGTGCTGCCGGAGCTTTTTTTTTAATCCTGCGAAGGTAGAAGTAGAAAGTATCTTTAAAAGCGAAGTACAAGTACTCGATGACCCCAAAACAGTTACAGGGTGTTTTTAGCTTCTGTCACGTTTCATCTCTCCGTCGCTTTGATTTCCCTTCAAAATGAAACAGAAGCTGCAGACAGAGAACAGAATAAATACTTATGATGACATAAACCAGAAATCCTAAATCTAATCTGTAAACGTAGTGGGAACATCCCACATGTCTCCACCAGTGTTAACAATGTTAATAAAAGATGAGGCTTAATAATGTTAAACCTTTCTCATATTAACGTCCTCTTTGCTCTGTGTCCACGTCCTGGTACTCAGGCATAGTTTCTTGGGTTTATTCTCAACTGTTTGTCTCAGAAGAATCAATGATGACGTCAAAGTTTCCCAGAGAAGCTGAAAATTGAATAATTTGAACAGAATCTGGTGACAAAAAGAAATGATTATCTTAGTTTGGAGGATTTTTATCAAGTCAAACAGCGCTCATGGGCCGTAGAGAAGATGGCAACCAAACAATAATGACAGCAGCGCTTTGGGGTTCACAGGGCTCCGGGTACTGAAGCTGCCGGTTTATATATCTGCAGCTGATTGATTGTTTCACAATATACTATTGATTGGTCAGTGGGAACGAAGACTCCGCCCCCCTCAGAGACCCGGAGCCTCTCTGTTATCAAGATTAGATGTATATAAACACACACATACAGTATATATTTATATATTTTTACATATATACATAGGCCTACGTGTATATATATATATATATATAAACAAACATACAACCTGAAATAAGTAAAAGGCCAAACTTTATTAAACGGATTCGTCTTCAGATAACGAGGGACGAATATTGATGGATCCCGTCGGCATCAGCTTTATGTTCGAGCAGTTTCCTGTTTTGGGGCTCGGCATCCGATCGGCGATTGATCGATTGATCAGTCAATGAATAACGTCTATGATCTGTGTCACAGAACCCGGCCTTCAGCGTTCTTCCGTCACCGCTTTGTCTCCACCACCTCGTGGCCTCTGGGCAGAGCAGCACCATGGAGGCGAACCAGCAGCACAAAGGGGAGGCCGTGACCTCACAGCCAGCAGAGCGACAAGCCCCGCCCCCAACGACGGACGGGCACGATGCCAATCGATCAGAGGACATGGATCACCTGACAGTGATCAGCGACAACACGGAGAACAGTAAATACACACATATGTACTTACCGTGTAGATGTATGTCTGTATATTGTTATATATTACATTACATTATATAGACATATATATATATATATATATATACATATATATATACATATATAACGTTGAGTGTGTGAGGCTCTCAGACATTTTGAACCCTTTCCGAAGGAGTTACCCATGAGCCATTGCAACGTGCCGTGAGGAGATAGCGTGTTATATATCGCTGTGTCACTCATGTGTTTGTGCATTTAAAACCAAAGGAAAAATCATTATGTGACGTCGCCATGGTTACGTGACATGTGGCAGCAAAAGGCTTTCCCTCCATATAGATACTCCACCAGGGTAACAGGGTAATTCAATCCCAATTACCCTCTGACCCCTGACCCCTGGTGTGTATTCAGAGCCAAATGCGTTAATGTGCAATAAAATAATCTTGGGTAACGTGTTAACGTGCCCTGCACTAATATATATGTATATATACACACATAATGTATTTATATATATATACATCTCCTGTCTGCATCTCTCATGTCCGAGTCCTCTACTTCCTGCTCAAGACGTTCCCTCCTGACTCCTCCCCTTCCAGGTAACGGCGTTGGCCCCCTGGCGGCGGACTCCTCCCCCACCGTCTCCTCAGTGACGCCCAAGCTTCACGCTAAGCCCGGCGGTCACGCCAACGGGCGGCCCGGCCCAGCCAGCCGGTCCGGCTCATTGGCGCCGGGCTCCCCGAGGCCCTCGCTCACCCGTCGGCCCAGCGCCATGCCGGAGGCGCCGGCTGACGGGTCCAAGCCGCGGGACTACCTGATCCTCGCCATCCTGTCCTGCTTCTGTCCGCTGTGGCCCATCAACATCGTGGCCCTCACCTTCTCCGTGATGGTACGACTGCTGCTGCAAAGGAATAAAAACCAGGCGCAATGGTGCCGTCTAGTTCAGGTTCAAGTTCCACCATCAGAGAAGCGAGACACAAAGACGGGAGGACCGTGGTCCCCGTGGGTGTCTCCCGCCGAGTAATAATCCAAAACACCAGCGACCAGGAAAGGATAAATTATTGTTATCAACTTCAGAGAAACATGTTTATCGTGACCTTTAAAAGCGTTGGTAGACATTTGACAGAGCCAGGCTAGCTCCTTAGTTCTATGCTAAGCTAGGCTAAGCGAGCAAATGACTCACACACTTCTTCTGTGCTGTTTTCCCTGTTCAGTCCAGAAACAGTCTGCAGCAGGGCAACGTGGATGGGGCTCGCCGTTTGGGCCGCAACGCCATGATTCTGTCCGTGGTGGCCATCTTGGGAGGGATTGTCATCATCATTGCGGGCATCGCCCTCAACTGGGGACGTAAGTGGCATCGGCTTCCAGCGTGATGTTGTGAGACTAAAGGACTCACAACGTTTTGGTATCTCTGGAAATGTCTTAGAGTAGAACCTCAAAACGTTCTTTGGTTCTGATCAAGAGCAGAACAAAAATATTGGTTCTTCTGTCAAAAGCAATTTGAATATTAAAGCAGTGTGGAGAGGAAATGACCATATAAGGACGTAGTGACGCCGTGTACGCCTGGTAGAGACCTGTCAATCACTGTGTAGCCCCGCCCTAAATCATCCCCTGCTTTATGGTCTGTTTGACCCTTAATGGACCATCAGTCACTAAATGAACATCACGTTGTGTTGAAGAAGACTTGAAACTAGAGACTGAGACATAAACTCATGTTTACAATGTTTACTTAGGGAATAAATCAAGAGAGAAGTAGAGTCATTTCCTCATAGACGTCTATGGGAGCAGAGGAGTCGCCCCCTGCTGGTCACTACAGAGAAGTAGAGTCATTTCCTCATAGACGTCTATGGGAGCAGAGGAGTCGCCCCCTGCTGGTCACTACAGAGAAGTAGAGTCATTTCCTCATAGACGTCTATGGGAGCAGAGGAGTCGCCCCCTGCTGGTCACTACAGAGAAGTAGAGTCATTTCCTCATAGACGTCTATGGGAGCAGAGGAGTCACCCCCTGCTGGTCACTACAGAGAAGTAGAGTCATTTCCTCATAGACGTCTATGGGAGCAGAGGAGTCGCCCCCTGCTGGTCACTACAGAGAAGTAGAGTCATTTCCTCATAGACGTCTATGGGAGCAGAGGAGTCGCCCCCTGCTGGTCACTACACAGAATGCAGCTTTGACACTAACGCTTTGACTTCAGACCGTCTTCCTTCTTTCTGCCTCCAGTGATTTTGAAATCCTGATTGAAGATGGCCTCCCAACCGACACACCACCGCCCCCCCAACCCCCGATCGCCTGCGCCGGATGAAAAGAAAAAAAATGCTCCTGTTCTTTGCTGTTGTTTCTTGCTGCACGACGAGCACGTCCTGCCTGCCGCTCGACCTCCAATCCGCCTCCGACTAGGATACATCACGCTGTGCTCATTTCACTCTGCGCCAGCAGCTTGTCTCCTGCTTACCTTCTTCTGGCCACGTTCCCCCGGGGGGTCGGCTGGAAGCCAACATCCGTCTCCGTGGAAACAGGGTAATTTCGTCTCCGGGCAAAAGGTCCGGCTCACCATCACCGTGTGTTTCCACTGTTTGATGCCAAATGATGAAAAACGTAGAGCTGAACTGAGGGTGGGAGACAAACTGTGAAATGCTCATCATCCAGATGGTGCTGCTGATGAAGGTGGTATGAAGGTGGTGGACTCGCGCTAAACTCAAGGATCCGCCTGCTGATGTTGATCTCCAGATGCTTCTGCGTTTGCTGCTTATATCGATGTTCTCATGTAAAAGTGTTTGTCCTTTTGGTCCAAGACGCATTTTTGGATTCTGAGTCTGAAATCCTGATGAATCTTTCTATTACGTAACATACATATTTAATCCCGTAAACCAGCTCGCATCATTTAAATCTAATCTGGTGCCAGTACCTCAAAGGACGAGCCCTTGTTCATCTACTCGACCACATGCTATTTAAGGTTTTACACTTATAAAGAATAGAATATAAAAAATATAAACTAAAATGAACTGTATCACTGTGAACTAACAGGACCTCAAACAACACACCGGTACTTATATTTCAACTGTTTTTAGTACAATATTTACTCAAGTACTGTGTTTCCGAGGTGACATCTCGTTTTACAAAAAGTTACATTTGAACAAACAAATTAGGAGAAATCACAAACGCAAATAGAAATAATAAATATTTTGTTCCCACAAGTCTGACTAAAATCGTATTATCTGCTCTTTCAACTCAAGTACCGTTTTAAAGTACTGGTACTTTGCTGGAATATTTCAATATTCTGCTACTTCATACTTAAACTGTCCAACATTTTATTATTTAAACTGATTCAGATTATTAGAACTAAATATAATCTACTAATAAATTATGATGTTTTCTCACTGATTAAACTACCAGAAGTACATGAAATCATTAAAAAGAGCTCAAAGTGATGAACATGCAACTATAATATGTATTATTCTGCATCATAAGTGTTTTAAAGTATTTTTACTTGAAGTATCACTACTTTACTAAAGTACGCGTTCTGAATACTTCTCCCACCATTGTGGGAGATCAAGAGCAAAATCCAGCTTTTATTTCTGTATTTGACTTTCTTTGATGAGCAGTTTGAACACATGACTAGGTTGGGGTCAGCATCTGGGACACAATATTAGTACTAATAGTACCAGTAGTACCATTAGGACCATAGGAACCATTTGGACCAGTAGTACCAGTGGTACTATAAGGACTATTGTTACTAGTAGTGTAATTAGGGTCACTTGGACCAGTACGACTATTGGACCATAGGGCCATTTAGACCAGTAGTACCATTAGGACCATTAGTACCATTAGTACCAGTAGTACCATTAGTACCAGTAGTACCAGTAGTACCGGTAGTACCAGTAGTACCGGTCTGCCCTACACTAACATGAAGCAGCTGTTGTGTTGACTTAAAGACGTGATATTTAACTACAATAACTCAGAGCTCAGCTTGACCTTCGTGAGTCAGCAGTTTCGTCCTCTGGAGATCAAGCCGGGCCGAACCGAGCCGAGCGAGGACGGGACGTTTACAGAGAACTTTGAGGAAATGAGCTTCTGGCGTAGAGCTAATTCATCTTCTTATAACCCTCTGCATGTTTACAGTATTTACTACACAGTGCTTTTACAGAAGATCCTCGATTAGCCGGAGCGCTAACGGAGCGCTAACGGGGCAGCGCTTTGTGAATAAACAATTTAGGGGGCGGATCTTCCTTCCGTTGGACACGAGGACGCTACTCACCAACCAACAGCTTGCACATGGGAGTTTTTACTGAGAGGGCGAGGTCAGGTGAGGTCAGGTGAGGTCAGGTGAGGTCAGGCTGAGACTGTGTGCGTAGCATGCCTGTTTACTAACCACATTATGCAATACTATGTTCCCAGCTCGATGTACCTATGCTAGCTTCTCTGAGTTCTGCGCTGTCGTGTACTTGTACACGGATGTTTATAGACGGGGTTGTGTACTTGTACACGGTTGTGTACTTGTAGCTGTGCTTGCGCTGCCTCTCAGAGCTGCTCCAGTGTTTTTACACTTTGATGATTTTAACTGACTGTTAAATCTCCCGCTATCGTTTGCGTGGTTTTTCTCTCACTCACTAACGTTGTATTTTATCATATGAATGTACAATTATGTGTAATACTACTGGCACAAGTTCTGTAAATACAACAACTCCTGAGTTAATGAATAGAAAACGGCTGCGTAAACTTCTTAAACTCGCGTGACGCACATACAAATGCAGCTAAATACGTGAGGAAAATTTCTAATTAAAAGGAAGTACTTCAATGTTAAATCTGAATAAAAAAAAGACAACTTTACACAATAACCAAATACTTTCACGCCTTCCTGTAAGTTACTGTATTAATGTGAGTACGAGACAGGAGTTCAACACTACGAGCAGACGCAGTAAATATGAATGAGTGTAAAATGACAGCGATCATAAACATGCTGAGAAACTTCTGCAAAACTTCTCCTGGTTCACTGGACGTGTCATGTGATAGTATTTCCTTATTCAAACTTTCTTTCCTTCCTTATTGGTGTGTAACATGATTATTAATTCATTTTATTTGATTTTTGCCATCAGCCCCTTTGACGCCGATCGCCTGGTCTTTTGTATTTTTTGTATTTCTATTCCATCCTCTGGATCCTTTTTGTATCTCAAGATAACCTGCTGTTTGTAACGCTCGCGATCAATCCGCTGCCTGCTGGCTTTTTCTACACGGTGAGGTGGGCGGAGCATGAAAAGGCCTCACTACGCCCTCTCATCTCCTCACACACCGGACTCCTTCCGTGCCTGTGCATGCCTTAACATGTGAAGCATCCACGGGGAATAATCCCAGAGGGAGTAATCCCATAATCCTAGATGGAATAATCCCAGCGGGAGTAATCCCAATCCTAGATGGAATAATCCCAGAGGGAGTAATTCCATAGAGGATGATCCCAGAGGGAGTAATCCCATAATCCTAGATGGAATAATCCCAGAGGGAGTAATTCCATAGAGGATAATCCCAGCGGGAGTAATCCCATAATCCTAGATGGAATAATCCCAGCGGGAGTAATCCCAATCCTAGATGTAATAATCCAAGCGGGAGTAATTCCATAATCCTAGATGGAATAATCCCAGAGGGAGTAATTCCATAATCCTAGATGGAATAATCCCAGAGGGAGTAATTCCATAATCCTAGATGGAATAATCCCGACGGGAGTAATTCCATAGAGGATAATCCCAGAGGGAGTAATCCCATAATTTTAGACGGAATAATCCCATAAAGGATAATCCTTAGTCCCAGTCCAATCCCACCTCCTCAATGACACTTCTACCACTGGATTAAATGGGTGTGTCGGTGCAATATATGTGTATTTATCTATATATAAAAAAAGCCTCTTATACAAAGGCTGAACATTGTTTTCATTCTCAGGATTACAGGAAGCATGAAATAAAACAACATGTCCTCATCCTACGTTTGATATCTTTTATCGGAGAAGATTCCATTTTCATGTGAAATACTTAATAAAGGGGATAAGATATTTCGGTATGTTGCTGTGGTAAAATAACTAGGGTTATTTAAGATGATGAAATACTTTTATTCGTTTGACAAAGCACACTAGTCAACAGTAAAACTGTCCACAGCCAGTAATAATAAACCGCCAGTAACGTATGAACAATAAGAACAAGTAGGACAGACACACATTCCTTAAGGTGATGAAGACGATGCTTAGTTTAAAAAGGTATGACGTAACCCTGGCAACCAGTGATGGGGACCTGCAGTGGCCCAAAACCAAGATGGCAACCAACACAAAGCTTCACGTGGCGACGCCCACCTCTTACATAAGTGGGGAGTAACTTGGGTGAGGAGCACTGAAATGAAGATGGTTGAAGCCGTGGATTCTTCTCAGACCTCGTCCTCCTCCAGGGGGTTGTCCCTTTTATTGAAATAGAACATTTTTAATAGTTAAAGGATTCCATCAGATCTCTTTACTCACAGCATGTCTGAGGTTTGATTCATGGTGGGAAGGAGACACGCGGCGTCGTGTCCACAGCAGAACGTCTACACCTCAATAAGTCTTTCAAAAAAGCTTTTATTTTCTTAAAATGTTCCCCTGTGCATGCTTATTTTTGCGGGGGGGGGGGGCAAGAGAGACGAGTGGGCTGCGGGTTTTCTCCTACACCCTGTTTCTAGGACTCGGGGTTGTCACGGCAACTACCAGCTAGGGAGGGGCAGGGGGGCGGGATGATGGGACGGAGGAGAGAGGTCTGATTCGTCACTGGTGTGTGTGGGGGGGGGGCTGCGCTTAATTTGAATTGTAGATGCTTGTGAATTATTGAGAGACTTCACCACTGAGGCTGCAGGAGGAGATATAAGGGTGGAGGAGGAGGAAGGAGGACAATACTGGAACGAGAAGGAGAATGAGAAAGAGTGTTTGCTCCAACGTGTGTGGGTGTAGCTTGAGAAGCAGAGGAGGAGAAGGAGGAGGAGAAGGAGGATTTATGGGCGGCTGCAGGAGACAAAAGACATGAAATGAGAACAGATGGAGGTTTGAGGAGGAGAAGGTGGGGCAATGTGTCAAAATACAGCTGACGGTGATGAGGTGGAGGAGGTAACATGTTGTACTGCATCACACAGGTACTTGTGGTACTTTAACTGCATCTCAGAGGCACTTGTGGTACTTTTACCGCTTCCCGGCATCACATGACACACGCAGATTAACCAAGGAGGCTCTGATGCAGCGACTGAAGGTCGCTCCGTTTGTCCCAATGAGACGTTTTTATGAACTTCTTTAGTTACGATCACATTTCAGGACTCACGGAGCTTTTGTTGTGATGAAACACAAGAAACTAAAAAACTAAAAACTCCAATGAAAACTTTTATGTTATTCATTTGTTTTGGGGAACTTCATATTTGTTGCTGTGTTTTAAATCCCTTTAACTATTACTAATAATGACAATAATACAGGTTATTTATACCTAAAGGTTTCAACATAGAAATGTATAAAACTAAAAGTTAATTTAAGTTCAGCAACATCTTTATGTTGCAATGAAATAATCCAGATGAATTCATCGACTCATTGAAAAGTTCTGCTTGATATCCTGTTTTTATTTATTTCAAGCAACTAATCGATTGGTCTAAACATCAAACAACAAGCATAAGTCAATGGTTCAATAGTTGATTTATCTGTTGACTCAAATATATTTTGGTTGAAGGTTCAAAGCAGCTTCTCGGTACCTCGGCCTTCAAAACCTTTTCTACTGTGAATATTTCATTAATCTTTAACAGACAGAAAACGCATTCTTTACATCCACTCAACTTGTGTCACAGGTTTTTGTCCTCCGTTGCCATGGTGACGATCACCACCAGGACACCGAGGATCAGCTGTCAGGGGACCGCGTCCTCCGTCTCCATGGTGATGATCATCATGATGACGCTGTGGTTTCCCGGTAGAGTCGACCCAGCCAGCTCAGCTTCATCTGCATCGAAGGCTTCCAGCGGAACGTCGACACAGTTCAGCTTCCACCGGTGCAGCAGCGCCTCGATGGACCAGTCAGCGCTGAGGAGGACGAGGAGGACGAGGAGGGTGTGAAGACAAGCGGTGTTACAAACCACACATTTAATCACTTTCGATAAAGCACCTCCTCTCCTGATACGTGGTCCAGAACTGAGCTCCGGGGTTTCTCCTCAGAAGGACAGCAGCCGTCAGGAGGACGTCTTGGAAGTCTGAAAGGGGATCACAGGAACTGGGTCAGTACGTCGTGCCGCCAGGCCTCTGGGGGCGGGGACCTCAGGAAACTCACCCCGAGGTTCGTAGAAGACGTCCGACCCCAAGATGACGTCCAGCCTGGGCAGCAGAAGGAGCTCAGGCGAGACCTCCCCCCAGGTGAGTGAGACCACGCCCACGGCCCGGAGGAGGCCGTTGGCCTCACAGCTCCGCCTGCAGTTCTCCAGACACAGCGAGGCCGCGGCGCCGTCCGACAGGATCACCTTCGCTCCGCACCTGGCGGCCACCACGCCCGGCAGACTCACACCGGCGCCAAGCTGAGCACCGATAGAAAGAGGGCGGGGTTAAAGATGGCCACGTGGGGCATGAAGAACGGTCGCTCACCTCCAACACCGCTTGGCCTCCGAGCGCCTCTCGATGCGTCCACAGGTACTGAGCCAGCACCACCGCACAGGGCCACACGTACATCCCATAGTGTGGGTGCAGGACCTGAGGGGGCCTCACGGTTAACAGCTGCTCTCTCATGACCTCACACATTCCGTCACCATGTCATCACATTTGGTTTTGTTTCAAATATTTAATAAGTAAATTACTTATTGCATAATTACATTAAAGAAAAGGGAAATTGTTACATTTACTTTAATACAACAGAGGCTTAGTGATCAGCAGAGGTGGAAATATGATGTACCACCATTAAACAGAGAGGAGCCCGACTTGTTTAACCATTTAATGAGCACGTTAAAAACAGACACACAACATTACATTGTGTGACACAAACAGGAAGCACGCCGAATGAAAGAGGACTCTGAGACATCATATGTTTACCTCTGGGATGGAGACAGAGAGAGAAGCTGGACTCGTCTTGTCTTTAAACGTGAACACTTTGCATGCTGTGCTCGGTGGTTCCGCTCCTCTGTGCTCCATCGGGCGGACTAATGCCTCCTTAAACTACTACAACAACAACAACAACTCCAGATGCCACAACTCTCCGTCTTTAACCGATGCCTGTGTTGTCATTAATACGCTAACAACGACTTCCAGGTCAACTGTAACTGAAGAATAAGCGCACGGGCAGCCAATCACAACAACGTAACTGTCTGGCGGGAAAACTTAATTTATACCGCATCCAATAAACGTCGTGCCCTCGCGGACGCTTGAGCCAATGGGCTTTGTGTTCCGGCAACGGGGGCGGGCCGTTAAGACGCCGAACACTTGCCTGAGCAATGTGCTGCGCGTTAGCCAGCTAGCATCCCTCTTCTCGGGGTTTTATGTAACGTTAGGCCCTCCGGGGAGGTTGTTTAGACGCGTCTGCACGTTTGTCAGCACGCGTTTGGCACATTAACCGACTCGTGGGTTCATTGTCCAATCAATTAAAGACGGAACGCTGCAGTCAGCCGGCTACCAGGGCGGGCTGGTGGAGGTGTTTCTACACCAGCCCCGGGGCAGCTCGATAGCTCGCTAGCTAAACAGCTGTAGCGTAACACACACAACGAGCCGGAATGAATCATAAAAGTAAGAAGAGGATCAAAGAGGCGAGGCGGAGCGCCAGACCCGAGTTGAAGGATTCGCTGGACTGGATCAAACACGACTACCACGGGTCTTTCGACGTGTCGCACCGCACCGTGAAGGTAACTTGTCGATGTAGCATCCGGAGCTAAGCTAGCCCGCCTCGGCTAACAGCAGTAGTGCAGCTCGTCACGTAGACACTGAGCATGTGACGTCATCAGTTGGGGTTTAACTTCGTTTCCTACTTTAGCGCCTACTTTTAAGTACTCTTATTACTATTTTATTTATTTAATTACTTAACAATGTTAAAATATACATAATGAGTTTATTAATTATGCGCTAAATTGTAAAGTGCGTTTTCAAAATTGGTTTTTGGTTAAAAGTCAATTAGTCTTTGCTCCTCAATTTAAAATCATCTCAGACTTCCTCAGAGGAAAGCAGTGTATTTCTAATTGTTAACCTTTTTTAAAATAGTTGGAAAGCAGTTGGTTTACGCTGAGATTCATTTTTTTAATATATTTTATTATAAATAATACTATTATAAAATAACTAACAATTTCTGTGCACTAAATGCAAAGACACAAAAGTCAATGATTGACAGATTTAGCAGACTATTGGTTTAAAGAAAAGATACTTGGTCTGATTTCAGGTCGTCGGGGTGTTGAAGGCCCCGTAGTCGAGATGCACGCTGTGTTTGTGTGTCGTATCGGTCATTTAATACTAATCTGTGACCGATCCAAACAGAGCTGGAAGCATGTTCTTGCTTGTGTAGCTCATATACGTGCCGTGTTCCAGGACAACGTGGAGCGCGTGGATGCCCACCACCTCGGCCCCGACGAGTTCATCCGGCGTTTTGAGCGTCCCTACCGGCCAGTGGTGCTGCAGGGCTGCCAGGAGGCGTGGCCTGCCCGCGAGAAGTGGACCCTGGAGCGCCTCAAGCGCAAATACCGTAACCAGAAGTTCAAGTGTGGCGAGGACAACGACGGCTACTCTGTGAAGATGAAGATGAAGTACTACATGGAATACCTGGAGACCACCAGTGACGATAGCCCGCTCTACATCTTTGACAGCAGCTACGGAGAACACGCCAAGCGCCGAAAGCTGCTGGAGGACTACCAGGTGCCCGTCTTCTTCAGGGACGACCTCTTCCAGTTCGCCGGCGAGAAGCGCCGCCCACCTTACAGGTACGCGCTCTGTCAGCTGGTAGCGCAGCTCTATGCGAGCGGTTGGTCCATCGTGGGCAGTGAGGATGTTTCGGCTCAACCATGTCCTCTGGGCTCCTCGCAGGTGGTTCGTGATGGGCCCGGCTCGCTCCGGTACCGGCATCCACATCGACCCGCTGGGCACCAGCGCGTGGAACGCCCTCGTCCATGGACACAAGAGGTGGTGCTTGTTCCCCACCAACACCCCCCGCGAGCTGATCAAGGTGTCTAGAGAGGACGGGGGCAACCAGCAGGACGAGGCCATCACCTGGTTTAGCGTGGTTTATCCCAGAACGCAGCAGCCCAACTGGCCTCCAGAGTTCACGCCGCTGGAGATCCTCCAGAGACCCGGGGAGACGGTTTTTGTTCCTGGTCAGTGGCTACGCTTAATTCTCTCCTTGCATCATGAACTGAAAGCATAATGAAACGTAGAGACGGCTGGTTGCTGTGGGTTCTGTTCATTAATGGTCACTAGCTGTGTGTTTGCAGGTGGCTGGTGGCACGTGGTCCTCAACATGGACACCACTATCGCCGTCACTCAGAACTTCGCCAGCACCACCAACTTCCCAATCGTGTGGCACAAAACGGTCCGAGGGCGACCCAAACTCTCTAGGAAGTGGTACCGGTAAGAAGTTAGGAGATTAGACCGTCCCAGGACGTCTGATAGTTAAATCCAGGAACCGTCCCATGTATTCACCGAACTTCAAGCCCCAGTGGACATTCACGCTTGGAAGGAAAGGTGTTATTATTGCGTTGAGTTTCCATCACTTCGATCGTCTGTTCCTAATCATTCAGAACACTTACAGTAGAGATCAGGGCCCGGCTGTATACATATTTTCATTTTTTCAAAATAAAGTCCTGTGTCTCCAATGACTGTTGGATCATAAATAAATAAGAACGAGTAATCGTTCCACCAACGTCTGTAAATATTAAACCAAGCTCTAATTCATCTACTGCTTACATCCGTTTGTGTTTCCTGCTCGTCTCAGCATCTTGAAGCAGGAGAGACCCGACTTGGCGGCGCTGGCGGACAAAGTGGACCTCCAGGAGGCGACGGGCATCGCGTCGGACTCCTCCAGTGACTCCTCGTCTTCATCCTCCAGCTCCTCCGACTCTGAGGTATGTGAAGCCACTGAAACGCCTTCAGGCGACGAGGAGTCCCACGACATTCGTTCTTAAAAAGGAACGTTGACAACCAATCAGATTAGATCAACAGGACGAGCTAGCAGCTTAGCAGCAAGGCTAACGGCTAACCGACGGGTTCACCTCAGTTCCATTGTCACGCGCCCGGTTAGTGAACATTGTAACCTTTTCATGATGCGTTCAGGTGTCATCTGTGGAATGTGGTTTTTGGTGATTCTCTACAATAAATTCACGTGAATACGAAATAGATATTAGAGATGAATTATGATCGGTTTAACCTACTAATACTAAGCATTTCGCATCATGACAATAAAAATAAAATACCTGATTTATCATTCAAATTTGGGATACATAAACAACTGATATTTAGTATTTTGGTGTTTTAGTGGCGTCAGAACAGTTGAATAAATGTTAAAGACCAGCTGCTAAAATGAAACGAGATCTGCATCTGTTGATACGGGTCATCGATGATCTGAAGCTGCAAACGGGTGCAGACACGAAGCATGTTGTAACCGTACACGCGTGACCCTCTGACCCCATCAGGCAGCGTCGGGCTCGGAGGGCGGCGCCGTGTCCCATCGCAGGAAGAAGAGGCGGACCGGCGTGGCGACTGTTAAGGGAGACGCCAGTGGACAAGACGACTGCGTCAGCAAGGAGAGGAGCTCGTCACGATGACCTCGGCCCTGCAGCAGGCTCCGCCCCCTGTGTCGTATACCGCGGGGGGTTAGGGGGCGTCTGGAGGTCCTTCGTCACCTCGGTGCCTTCAGTCCACCTCTGTTTGTATCAGACTAGAGGGGGGGGCTTTTAACTGGACTGGACCCCTTTAAACCTGTTCTGTCACACCCCGAACGATCAAAGCACCACAGAAGAAGAGATGAGCTTTCTCATGATCTCGTTCTGTTAAATGTTATAATCTAACTATACTTATAGGAACATCTTCTGTGTGTGTTCAAATTTCTTCAGATTTACAGTCACATGACTGCTGGTCTCGGATGCATCAAGCGTGATGTCATAGTTTCTCGGAGGGTTCTGATTAACGTTTATTTGAGGAGCGATTTTAAATGAGACGTGAAGAATAAAATGTATGGGATGAGATGTAATTTCAAGCCTTTTCTGGGTTTTTCTTCTCGCACGTGATGTGTTCAAGGACCGTCCGAAAGAGGAATCTGTTATTCTGCCACGTGGCTTCAGGGTTCGGAGGGTTAAATAAGCTCATGTCACATGATGAACTAGAAAGATGGTTTGAACTAAAGTTAATCCAGTGTAAGCAGGGGTGGTGTGAGGAGCTCCACCTTCGGACTGTTGGTGCCTCGTTAGCGTTGATTAGCTCCGTCGCTGTGACACCAGAGGCCGGGTCGGCTCAACGGGTTCTGGTCCTGCGTCCCCTGCTGCCGAAATGCTGCTCGTTTATCGTCATATTGATTTGGGTTCTCATGCAGAGTCACAGCTGGCGGCACTACGATCCCCACAATGCACCGCTGCTTTCTGTTTACAGCTGTTTTTTCGTTAGTCCGGATTGTTCGACAACAGCTGAGCGAGAAGGAGAAATATTTCATCGTTGATTGATTTGCTACAAAGTCTGAATGTGTTTATTTCAAGATATAAAGTTCACCAAAACTCAAAGCGGTGAATGCGGAACGTGCAGAATGGCTGTTATGTTTAGATGATTGGGACCATCTGGCACCACAATCCACTTTTATCTAATCAATAATGTTAAAATCATTTAGTAAAACGCAACCAATACTGAACGTAATAATTACAGCAGATCTTTTAGTAGAATCAGTATTGTATGGCTCGATTTGTCCAAAGAGAATAGTTGGTTTTTTCTTTTTTTAATTAATAAAAGGGACATTGTTATTAATCTGTGGCTTTGGACTGAAGTGCCTCTGAACACGCACGTGTCTGAGTGTCCCTGAAGGCACCGCGTCGGCCTGTGAGGTCGGTCACGTGGTGCCTTCAGGGCTTCTGAGCTGATCTGGGATCAGAACGACTCCATGTGATCGGTTTCATTTTGTTGGTCAATAAAATGTTTTCTATGACTTTGATCAATATTTGTTTCTATTTCACCGCCGAGCATCAACGCTTCACTTTGTTAAATGATCCGTATTAGTCCTGCAGTGCAAAATATCACATCACGGGTCATTTAACTTTTATCCAAAGCGACTTACTAAGAGTGCATTTCAACCACAAGACACAGTACAACATGTATCTGATAAAGTACAACATGTATCTGATAAAGTACAACATGTATCTGATAAAGTACAACATGTATCTGATAAAGTAACAAGTACAACATGTATCTGATAAAGTGACACAGTACAACATGTATCTGATAAAGTAACATGTATCTGATAAAGTAACAAGTACAACATGTATCTGAAAGTAACAAGTGCAACATGTATCTGATAAAGTAACAAGTACAACATGTATCTGATAAAGTAACAAGTACAACCTGTATCTGATAAAGTAACAAGTACAACATGCATCTTGTATTTCAACGTGGGACAGAATTTACAGCACTACTGAAGGACCCATTGGACATGTCTTACATCTCACGTTGGAGGTGGGACATGTTGAACTAGCAACTCTTCCTGCTGTACTCCATCGTTTGACATGTTTCAAGTGTGGACATTTAGCAGGACGTTTTAACCACAGTTTTTTAGGGACACAGTGGTGGTCCTCTGCAGGGTAGATGTTGGGATGGAAGTAGCCCAGCAGCTACTGCACAGTTCTTCTGTTTGTTTTACTTCCGATGCAAAAAGCTCTCATCTTCAGCTACCGGCTCGCTCTAACACATGAGTCCTAACCTGGGCAGTTTTTGATTCAAAAAATGATTGTGTAAAACTATTTGATTCAAAAAATGATTGTGTAAAACTATTTGATTCAAAAAATGATTGTGTAATGTCTTTCTGTGATTTAACAGTAGTAAATTAAGCGTTAGCTCCTTACCCTTCGAGACAAATACTGTTCCATTTGTGAAAGTTCAAATTTCTTCAGAGTCGATAAGACGCTGACGCCAGTGAAATAGCCGTGCGCTGATATTAACCTGAACAGGACAGACGTCTTGAACGTTTTCAAGGCGATCAACAAAGAAAGACTACCGGATACAACGTGAAAATGCGTGTGTCCAGGTCAGGGCAATGCTAGCTTTAGCTGTCCAGGTTAGGAAACGTTACGTTAGCTAAGTGCAGCTAGTAGCATTTTCGTTTCTGGGGTAGTAAACAAAGTTGCATCATCTGCGTTGACATATTTGACCAAATATGTATAAATATATACAATACATTTGCAATACATTTAATTGTATTTCTTTACTTAATTTGATATATTATTCTCTCTGTGTAGTCCAAGTTCACTAGTGTGTACTCTCAAGAAGAGATCAATATCTCACCTGCCTGTCTCTCCTCTCGGGTCTCACCTGTCTGTCTCACCTGTCCTATATATGTGTATGTATAAATATATGAATTTGTGTATGAAAACTTCCTTCTGCATTAATTCATGATCCATTGTAACATTATTCATCATGACTTGATTCTCATTAACACTGTGTGTTATGTGTGTGTAATGTTTTGTTTGTAAATATTATGGTATTATGATTTTAGAGCTTTGTTCCCAAAAACTTTGTTTGGGAACAAAATACTTCAAAATGTTGACAGCGTTTCTCCAACATTTCAACTTAAATCTTTTGTCTCTAATGTGCCGCCGTAGTTTAGTTTTATTACATTTTAAGAAATTTGTCTTTTAAAGCAATAATTTGTGCTCCATGCTGGGTAATATGTAGTTTGATAACAAGATGTGAAAAATTTTAAATTTAAGTTTTGAACTTGAAACATTTCTTAAATGTTTTTCTTGCATAATGTTGTACTTATTTCTGCGAAAGCAATTGGAAATCCTCAAAAAACATTCCATACAAATTTGGGATTTTATTCTCAAATTCTACCTTTAATTTTTGTAACTTTTATATATATATATATATATATATATATGAATATTTGATAACATTGTAATATATAATATAATATACAGCGAATTTTTGAGTTTGAGTTGTTTAAGTTATTTTCGGCTATACAAAATATAAATTGAATTGAATTAAATTTAATTGAATATACGGCTGAAAATAAAACCTTTGAATTATTTTTATTAAATAGAATATTCACCTTGAACATTTTAGGAGTTCTCAATATCATACAACTTCATACTCTTCAAATATTAGATTGTTCTAACCCTTTCCCCCAAAACAAAATCATTAAAAAACTTCTTTTGAAATATTACCTTGGAAAAAAAACTTAACTTTCTCAATGAGAACAGGAGGTGACAGAGGGAGAGATGGAGTAGCAGCTGATCTACTCCCTTTGAGGCGGTTACCGCGTTTCGTTTATTCAATTCATCATTATCATCATTTATTGCTGTTGATGTTTTTAAATCATGGTTTCTAATAATTTATTAATAAATCATAATTGTCCACAGATCAACGTTTTGTTTAATTACCTTATTCTCACCCCTTATGTGATGTATTATAAAATAAAATATTTCTCATTTACTCAAGTTGTTGCTGCTTTTACTTTAACTAAACATTTTAACATTTGCTCACAACAACTGCTGCGTGTGGGTTCATGTCCTGTTTTATTTTGTAGTTTCCTGCCTCTCGTGTCCCTGGGTTTACTCCACTTCCTGCCCTGGTGTTTTTTCTTCTTCGATTATCTGCCGTGTCCCTGATTGTCGTCTCTTGTGTCCAACCACCTGCACCTCCCCAATGTATTTAAAGCAGCTGTACCCTTTGTCTCTTGTCCTTTGTGAATGCTGCATTCTGGGTAATACTGTTTTTGTTAACGTTTGTGCGTTAATCAATTTAGACCTATCTCTTAAATTTTAATTATAAAATTAAACAAATCAACATGAATAGAATAGTACACCTTAACCAGCTAGGATATTATTATTATTATACCATATTAATAATATTATCATTATTATAAATAATTATTAAAATATCTTTGTCTCTGTCATAATAAATTCCTATTCTCTTTTCTCATATTTTCTTTTTCTTCTCTTATTAATAAAGGACATTTGTAAATGGAGAACCGTAACTGAGCTTGTGAACATCAGTACTTCTACGCTCTAATATTAGTATCTTACTGAAGTAAATGACCACTACTTCAATATTATAAGAACTTCTGCACATTGTGACACAGAAAAAAAATATTTGTATTGAACAAACCTTTATTTTCTCAAGAACTGAAAGGAAGTGTGGTTATTTCTTTATTAAAAGATGGAAACAATAATACCCGTTGTGTCCACTAGATGGCGAACAGAAACCGTTTAAAGAAATCAGAAACATCACACATTTTATTATTAAAAAAAATCTCAACTCATGAAGTTATTTATATTAGACCTTTGGCTATTAAATGTGACGTTAGCAGTCTTTATCATGACTACAGTATTATACATATTTTAAGTTCATTCTGTACACATGACATCCATTGTAGACTCAGCAGACGGATCCTCCTCGTTCTCCCTGAGGTTTCTTCCCTTTTTTCCCCATGAAGGGTTTACATTTGTTGGGGAGTTTTTCTTGTGCTGATGTGAGGGTTTCTGAACAGAGGATGTCGTGTTACAGACTGTAAAGCCCTCTGAGGCCAATTTGTAATTTGCGATTTTGGGCTATACAAAATAAAATTAATTGAATTGAATTGAAAGTGATTATTTATGTTATTGTAATAGTTTAATTAATTAATGGATCAATTGATTAATTAATAAACTCATTTATTAAGATCATAATACTATTCACAGTTGTGATGAATTAACTCAATTTGTTTTTAAATAATTGAATATGCTGAAAAAATGATTTTTTCCTCTGGAAAAGACAAAGATGAAAGAAAGTGGGAGGGTCGATTATATTTAATAAAACTCAACACCAAGAGCCGGAACTAAATGAGAAAAAATGGGATCAATCCTACAAAGTAAAAGCAGGAATCATTTATTTGTTGTGGAATTTCTCACCTTTTTATTCATCTGACATGTTTACAGATGCACTCACACCTGAACGCACCACCAACTGTAGACATCCATTGACAAATATGTGAACGAACCATTATTGATTTATATAATTTTAAAATAACAAAATTGTCACATCGGTGAGACTGAAAAATGTAGATATTTGAGAGCGCAGAATTAAAAGATCCTCAAAGTGGTGTCCAATTAGATGTCTTTACTCTAACTTAATAATGAAGCACTCATATGTTTCTCACAGCGTATCAAACAACTAAATTAACCAATACGAATTAATCAAACCGTTAAATGTGATTGAAAATACACTACATTTATGCTGGCATAGATAAATCCCTTCCATGGAGGTCTTACTTTGAAGGTCTAGACCGGATGCTGTGTTGTGGTCCCGTGTAACTTGATGCTCGGGACAACGTAGCGGAGAGAATGTGGCATTCAGGGAGCGGAGGGAAACCGGGAGGAGCGTCACTAGCGAGGAGTCCGACAAAAGTACTAAAACATCCGAAAGTTCACGACTGCGGACATCAAATCAGAACTGTGTTCGGACGCGTTCGCAGATCCTCGTCCCCGGAGGAGGAACCGGCATTTTCCCGGAATATCAGCAAAAGGAGAAAAAAACTTCAAACTGCCGCCGCGAGAAAGTGAAAAGTTTCTGCCGTCGTTTCGCTAAAACAGGTGAGGAAGTCCGCTGAAGCTGAGCCGAGGTCGGGTTTCTTACAGCCTGGTGGTCCGAGGGTTCGGGCGAAGACCTCCGGCGGATCCGGTCTAAAGGTCGTCGGTTAACGCACCAGACTCCAGCCGCTATTTGACCGTTTTTCCTGCGCTCCGAACTCCCCTCGCGTAGCTTCAATGCGGAGTCATTCACGTGCTTATTAGTGCGCGGAGTGTTGTAATATTCCGATAATTAACCCTTTTCTGTATCCTTGGAGAACAGCCTCCAGTTCGGCGTAGTTGAGCGCGAGCAGGGAGCTCGGGAACTCACTCAAATGTTCCGTTTTAACCGGATCCCGGAGCGCTCAATCCGAGCCCAGCGTGCGTCACTGGATCAGAGACTTCCAGTGTGACACAGATCAGAATATCCCCGAATTATCCGCTGACACCGGAAACACGCGTGTGTTCGTGTGTTCGTGTGTTTGTGATAAGTGGAATGTGGAAGGAGATCTGGTTGGTCATCTAAACATCAGAGGAAAGGGCTCATATTGAGTCCTATGAAGACACACTTCAGGGTTCATCCTGGTCCTCCCCAACTTTCCTCCGGAGCAGAGAACCCTGAGACCCTGATCTTTGTTCCTTTCGTCGTGGAGACCGGAACACGCCCGAGGGAGGTGGAGGAGAGGAGCGGGACGTGATGGGTGTAGACGGGTGTAGACGGCTTATGTAACAGAACCAGTTGGAACCAGCACAACAGGACCAGAACCAGATCTGCTTGCAGAAAAACGACCCTGCAGAACCCCGAAGGTGCTGCAGGTGATCATGAGAACATGAGTATGTGAGAGCTTGAGGACCTGAGGACCTGAGGATGTCAGATCATGACGTGAGGGTGTGGTCCAGGCTGTCATGAAGTCCGGGCCAGTGAGCTGTAAAAACGAAGTGGACTCACAGAGAGCGAGGGGGGGGGAGGGTTCCACCTCTGGTCCATCTTCTTGAGATAAGTCAGTGGAAATCTGATCGGATTAAAGGAGCAGTTAGAGGTGGACCCAGATCCCATAAGTGGATCCAGGACCGGATTTAAGGTTTAGCCCTGGTGGATGTTTAAGCACTGCGATGATCCCGTTACTGGAAGCTCCTCCTTCACACCTTCACGTAGGAACTCATCTGGACTTCTTCTTTGCTGTTTTCAGACCCTGAGACCACCCCAACCCCTCTGAGAGCAGAGGACATTACCTCCTCAGGTCTCCATGGCCGCCTGCTCAGCATGAGGCTGTGAGGAGGATTTAAAGAAGGCTGGTCCAGACCCGAGCATGGGGAAGGAGCAAGACCTGCTGCAAGCGGCAAAGACCGGAGACCTGCTGTCCACTCAGAAGCTGCTGTCCAAACTCAAAGCCAACAGGAACAGTGAGTACGCCTTGTGCTTTTACAGGGTACGGGTGATGTCCTCTGAGGTCTCCAGAGCAGGTCTACAGACGTAGCCTAGCAAATGATGGTTCCCACAATTATTCCTCTCATGGTTCCCCTAATGGTTCCACCGATGGTTCCTCTCATGGTTCCCCTTATGGTTCCACCGATGGTTCCTCTTATGGTTCCACCGATGGTTCCTCTCATGGTTCCCCTAATGGTTCCACCGATGGTTCCTCTCATGGTTCCCTTGAACAATATATTAAAGGACTATTCCATCTCTATGTTTTAGGACAAATTGTCTCAGGACATTGGAGTATTTTTGATGTGAGGTTGTGTCCTCCTGACATCTGCTGTCCCTAAACCAGGAGCTCCAGATGGTGTCCTGCCCAGATTAACAGGACTTATAGCTTTTTGTTAGGGGGGCATCTCGTCCGCACATAATTTGTGATGACATCATTTTGTAATAAATGTATTATTAATCATGTATTTATTTATAAGTTAATAAAGGACACATTTAGTTTTATAACGTTTCTAAGAAAAATATGATTAAAGCCACAGAAGTTTTCCATAAGTTCATAATAGTATTAATATTCTTTATCATTTTGGGGGTTAAATCTGGGAAACAGAACTTTAGTTTTCAGATGTTGGAGGTCGTAAACCTGTCAACCCGCTATGGGGGGGGGGGCTCTCTGCAGAACCCTCGTCTTATTTTGAAGGATAAACGCTCTTATTGTTTTTACACCTCCTATATTTTAAGTCAAACTGCAGAATGTAACCTGAGAAAGTGCAACACGGTATTATATTTATCTATATATTATATTTTTGAAGGGTCCATAGAACTTCAGCTATGAATATTCTGTTGTTGTAAACATAACAACATTCATTACATCCATGTATGTTGATACATTTGGTCCTTTTGTATTGTTATTATCTGTAGTTCTATGGAGGCTAGTTGTCTTTTCTTAATTAAATGTTTCATGTCGATGTATTTAAAGTACAAAAGACGTAAAAGGGCCGACGGTGATAATCAGCTGTGAGAACAATGAGCAGCTGATGTGATGAAGGGTTCTGTGCTGCGTTCAGGTGTTCTCACTGTTGTACATCTCGGCTTCCTGATGACACAAAGGGAAAGTCCTCCTTCCTGAAAGCGGTCAGATGTCCACAAGGACGTCTTTGTTTGTTCAGCCAATCAGCTGTTTCCTTGTTTGTCTGTCGACTCCACCGATGGGGTGTTACATGTGTCCCCGCTGGAGGACTCGGGTCCCTCTGATGGGGTGTTACATGTGTCCCCGCTGGAGGACTCGGGTCCCTCTGATGGGGTGTTACATGTGTCCCCGCTGGAGGACTCGGGTCCCTCTGATGGGGTGTTACATGTGTCCCCGCTGGAGGACTCGGGTCCCTCCGATGGGGTGTTACATGTGTCCCCGCTGGAGGACTCGGGTCCCTCTGATGGGAAGAGGAAGAAGAAGAGACATTTTGTCTCTCTTGGACTCTTGGACTTGTGTTGACGCTCTTGGAAGGAGAGACCGGGACAATAACGCAGGTTTCCTGTTTTCCTTGTTGACGAGCAGCTTGGTCACATGACCTCGTCCCCCTGTGATCAGGGAGAAGATCTCCTCCAGGAAAAGAGGAGCCTTTTTATAGAAGTTTTGAAAAGAACACAACACAAATGGGAATGTGGTTTGAGGCTACGTCCTGTGTGTGCTGTGTGTAGCTGTGTGTAGCTGTGTGTAGCTGTGTGTAGCTGTGTGTAGTTGTGTAGCGTGTGCAGCAGAGTAGCAGCTAATGCTTCTTCTTCATGCGTTATGTAACGGCATCTTCTGCACTTCCTCGTCACCACATGACTCTGGGTGACTTTTATTTTGAAGGGTTATTTAGAAACCGTTTACGGATACTTTCTATAACATTGTTTGACGTTAGCGGCACCTTTTGTCTGTTCTTATTTAATTTAATCACACAAAAGTTTGGTTTTGACGCATCAAGTGAACAAACCGTAACCTTATCGAATAATATGTGAGGAACATTCAGTCATATCATTATTATTATTATTATTATTATTGAAATCATTGTGTTGATATATTGGTTTTCTTGAGGAGACAACGACGTGCACATTACCCAGAATGCTCCTCTGTGTGAAGCCCAGAGTTCAGTGTTAGAGAACATCTCCCCACCGAGAATGAGAGGAATTCACAGAGCTCTAATTTAGGTCAGAGAGCTGTGGTGAGACGTTCTTCAGGATGTGCGTGTGTGTGTGTGTGTGTGTGCGTGTGCGTGTGTGTGTGTGCGTGCGTGTGTGTGCGTGTGCGTGTGTGTGTGTGTGTGTGTGCCAGCTATTGTCCAGCAGCAGTGTGTTTGAATGGAGGCAGTGATGTCATGGTGTTGGTATGTGGACCCCCGTCACAGAACCACCTTCGTTCCTCAACTCCCCCGGGAGTGTGTGTGTGTGTGTGTGTGTGTGTGTGTGTGTGTGTGTGTGTGTGTGTGTGTGTGTGTCAGTTGGAGCGTAACGTCAGACAGTGAACGAAACGTTCGCTTTACAATTGACAGAATAACGTAGAGGAATGTAGACAAAGACATATTTAAAAGAAATGGCCGTTCTCCACACTACTCTACACCCACTTGAGGTCCCGGGTGATGATGGAGTCCAGGAAACGGGAGGAACCCACCGCGGTGACGGAGGCGGACTGCGTTCCTCCTTAAATCCACAAGCATCTCCAGAGCGTTGAGCTCCAGGTTCCTCTGGCTGCTCGACGTCACCAGATGGTCAGACTCCACCTGTAGGCCACCAGAGACCAGTCCAATGAGGGTGGAGTCGTGTGTGTGTGTGTGTGTCTGTGTGTGTGTGTGTACACCCCAAAAATACCAAATCCTTCACCAGTCCTGATATGTTAAGCAACCTGTGGGATGTGACTGGAGAGAATAACAATAACAGTGATGGACGGGTCCTGAACTTCTGATCTCCTGCGAGCGTCCAAAGCGCCGCTTTGCAAACGTCATCTTTACATTATTAAGTTCTTAGTTCTTTTCTGACAACATTTCAGGGGGTTCAAAACAAGAAACACGTGTTGCCCCCAGGTGGCGCTATGACTAGAACTCAAATGGTCACATGGATGAGTACAAGGGTTGATTCCATGACACAGATTCACAATGTTCTGCTTCTGAGACGTTCTCTCAGTTTCCACATTGCTCACGTTCCCAGCGCAGCGCGGGTTCATGTTTGTAGGGGGCGCTATGGAGCCCCGTCAGCTTCTAGAATCATTACAATTGTGTCAGATAACGTCATCTTAGTAAGTGTTCCACGTTTAGTCACAACTTGAGCACGTTCACCTCAACAGGTTGATGTTTACTGGATACTAGGAAACGTGACTCAACGTGTCTTCAGGCCTCAGGTGAGAAAGCCTCCAGGAGGCGCTACAGAGACATTTATATACCCAAATGAGAGACCCCGAAAATAGACCATTTCTCATCAATCTGATGCAAGCAAATGTATAACAACTTATTGAATATGATAAGCCCCCAAATGGCTAAAGAGAAAGAAGAAGAAGAATTCCTTCAAATACAATATATGTATTTACATTTCTATACGTATAAAAACGTAGAGACGCGTTTAGAAAGGTCATTGATGTGTTAGAACGTCCCTTTGGGGGGGGGGGGGGGGGGGGGTCCACAGAGAGGAACAGGGTGGGGGTCCCTTCCGTGTGAGATCACTTTCTCATATTTCATCTCCAGCTTCTTCTTCTGCTAAACAACAACAACACAAACACTTAAACTACTGAATCACAACTGGAATGATTGACAGATTCACTCCTGACCTAAATGATTGTGTTTGTGTGTGTGTGTGTGAGACTCTGTCAGGGGCGTTGTGTTGACTGAGGCTCTCAGGAACAAAGCCAGGGCCTCTCCTACACTTCCTCTCCCAACACTATTGTTGGCGGGGGGGGAGGACGAGGTCAGCGCTGCCCCCCCCCTCCCCCCCCCGCCTCGATCCATCTGACGTTAACATCTACAGGCCCGTCTCTCTTCTGCCCGTTCTTTACAAAACTCTAGAGCAAATCATCTTTAACCAGCTCTCCTCGTACAGGCTCCCGTCCTCAGTCAGGCTCCCTCAGTCAGGCTCTCGATCCCTCAGTCGGCTCCTCGTTCGCTCAGTCAGCTCCTCGTCCCTCAGTCGGCTCCTCGTCCTCAGTCAGGCTCCTCGTCCCTCAGTCAGGCTTCAGGCCTCCTCGTCCCTCAGTCAGGCTCCTCGTCCCTCAGTCAGGCTCCTCGTCCCTCAGTCAGGCTCCTCGTCCCTCAGTCAGGCTTCAGGCTCCTCGTCCTCAGTCAGGCTCCTCGTCCCTCAGTCAGGCTCCTCGTCCCTCAGTCAGGCTCCTCGTCCCTCAGTCAGGCTTCAGGCTCCTCGTCCCTCAGTCAGGCCTCCTCGTCCCTCAGTCAGGCTTCAGGCTCCTCGTCCCTCAGTCAGGCTCCTCGTCCCTCAGTCAGGCTCCTCGTCCCTCAGTCAGCTTAAGGTCCTCGTCCTCAGCGGCTTCAGGCTCCTCGTCCCTCAGTCAGGCTCCTCGTCCCTCAGTCAGGCTCCTCGTCCCTCAGTCAGGCTCCTCGTCCTCAGGTCAGGCTTCAGGCTCCTCGTCCCTCCGTCAGGCTTCAGGCTCCTCGTCCCTCAGTCAGGCTCCTCGTCCCTCAGTCAGGTTCAGGCTCCTCGCCCTCAGTCAGGCTCCCGTCCCTCAGTCAGGCTCCTCGTCCCTCAGTCAGGCTTCAGGCTCCTCGTCCCTCAGTCAGGTCCTCGTCCCTCGGTCAGGCTCCTCGTCCCTCAGTCAGGCTCCTCGTCCTCGGTCAGGCTCCTCGTCCCCGGTCAGGCTCCTTGTCCCTCAGTCAGGCTCCTCGTCCCTCGGTCAGGCTCCTCGTCCCTCGGTCAGGCTCCTCGTCCCTCAGTCAGGCTCCTCGTCCCTCAGTCAGGCTCCTCGTCCCTCGGTCAGGCTCCTCGTCGCTCAGTCAGGCTTCTCGTCCCTCGGAGAGACTGTCCTCCCTGCTGATCAGCCTGTCTCTCCTCTGTCCTCGTCCTTCTTCACCTTTCTGCTGCGTTTGACTCAGTGAAGCACCAGATCCTCATTTCCTCTCTTCAGGAACTTGTCTCAGGAATCAGGAATCTGACTCGTCTCTTGGTGCTCAGCAGCAGACAGCGAGACGATAAGACGACATGTGCAAGAGGAATAATTCATTTCTGGAGTTTATCATTTTTGTGGAGATTTATTCCCCGTTAATTATGAAGATGGAGGCCGTTATCAAAGCGCGCTCAGTTCTCCCCCGAGCTTCTCTACCCTCCAACACTAACTTCAAAAGACAAGACTTGACGGGGGGTCGGGGGGGGTGTTGCAGACTTAATCTATGCGATTGTGGCCGGGATTAATGCAACAAAACAAGGGCGTAACTATGGTTACGATGGGGGGGTCCAATAAATACCTTTCCCCTTAATTCAAAGTGCATTGCCTAAAATCCTATATTTCTATATGAAAATTGGCACATTTAGAACATCGAGGACGACGTGGACCATTTGACTTCACATCTAAAGGCCTAGAGACAGGGACGCCCCCCATGTCTGTCTGGGTTGTTTAAATAAACAGAAACAAAGGTTAATTACTCTTGTAATCTATTTGGGGGCAACATCTTTACCTGTTGTTTGTTTTCAGAGCTGCTCGGGGTTCCACCCAAGCGGACTGAACGGATCAACTACCAAGACTCAGAGGGTGGAGTGATGACACCACCCCCCCCCCCCCCCCGCCGGCCAGAAGGCTTCATGAATATTTGTGTCTGGTTAAATCAACATCATCATGTGTAGATCCATCTATCTTCGGTTACACGACCATCCTCGCTGGATGTTTCCTCTCTGAATGCAACCTGACTTGTTCTAACCTGACAATGACTCGCCCATTAAATGTTCTGCATGAATGAACCGATGAATCAGAGGAGCTCTGGTCAACATCAGGGCTTAACTAGTTAGTTACAGTTTACTGAGGGAATAAATCCAGGAGAGACAGTAGAGTCATTTCCTCATAGACGGTCTATGGGAGCAGAGGAGTCGCCCCTGGTCCCTAAGGAAGGATCCTACAGGCCAGAGTCGACCCCTGCTGGTCAATCCAGAGAAGTAGAGTCATTTCCTCATAGACGTCTATGGGGAGCAGAGGAGTCGCCCCCTGCTGGTCACTACAGAGAAGTAGAGTCATTTCCTCATAGACGTCTATGGGAGCAGAGGAGTCGCCCCTGCTGGTCACTACAGAGAATGCAGCTTTAACACAGGAAGGTCTGTGTTGCTGATCATCTCATCCTCATCATCATATCTGCTCCTTATTACGTAATTCAAAGTTCTCTTCAGTCTCTACTGGAAATCAGATTATTTCTGTGTTCATTGTTCCAGATGGATTCATGTGGATTATTGATATATGTATCGTAATTGATTAGCTGATCTGGGGGCATTAATAAAAATAACAATGACAACATAGATCTTGATATGATAATAATAATATTCATGTATTTGTGACCCTCAGGTTCTCGGCCCTGCACCATGCCGCCCTCACAGGGACCACCGAGCTGCTCTCTGCTCTGCTGGAGGCCCACGCCTCTGTGGACGTGAAGGACAGCAACGGTGAGACACTGAGACACAGAGAGACACACAGAGAGACACACAGAGGGTCAACAGCTTGAGCAGATTACCAGCTGATCTGCGCTGTTCTCTGTACCTCGTTAACATCTGTTTCATTCAATAAACAATCATCTGCTTATTCTTCTTTAAGTAAAGTCAAAGCTTCCTGAGTTAAAGCTGCATTCTGTGTAGTGACCAGCAGGGGGCGACTCCTCTGCTCCCATAGACGTCTATGAGAAATGACTCTACTTCTCTGTAGTGACCAGCAGGGGGCGACTCCTCTGCTCCCATAGACGTCTATGAGGAAATGACTCTACTTCTCTGTAGTGACCAGCAGGGGGCGACTCCTCTGCTCCCATAGACGTCTATGAGGAAATGACTCTACTTCTCTGTAGTGACCAGCAGGGGGCGACTCCTCTGCTCCCATAGACGTCTATGAGGAAATGACTCTACTTCTCTGTAGTGACCAGCAGGGGGCGACTCCTCTGCTCCCATAGACGTCTATGAGGAAATGACTCTACGTTCTCTGTAGTGACCAGCAGGGGGCGACTCCTCTGCTCCCATAGAAGTCTATGAGGAAATGACTCTACTTCTCTCTTGATTTATTCCCTCAGTAAACATTGTAAACATGAGTTTATGTCTCAGCTCTAGTTTCAAGTCTTCAATACAACGTGATGTTCATTTAGTGACTGATGGTCCATTAAGGGTCACAGACCATAAGCAGGGGACGCTTTAGGGCGGGGCTACCGCTGATTGACAGGCCTTAATAGATGTGTATTATAGATTTATAAAAGCTCCACTTTAAAGCGATGAGCACATGAATGCATCAATAACTAGTCTTTCTCTTGGGGGCAGGCATGCGCCCCCTGCACTACGCTGCCTGGCAGGGGAAGGCGGAGTCGGTGCTCCTGCTGCTGCGCTCCGGCGCCGCGGTGAACGGCGCCTCTCTGGACGGACACATCCCGCTGCACCTGGCGCCCAGTACGGACACTACAGAGTGGTGAGTGATGTCACGCCGCAGACTCCGCCCACATCCACCTCCCCAGGTGGGACGTAAGCTGCAGAAATGTCCTGTCTGTAACAAACGCTCAGAAGAATTTAAACAAATGTATTTTTGTAGTAATTATTAGTAGTATTTAGTTTTAATTGTAGTACTAGTGGTACTAACAGTAGAATAAGTAATAGTAGGTTTAGTATCAATGGCAGTAGAAACAGAAAGTAATTGTGTTTGTAGTAGTACTAGTATTATCAGCCGTAATACTATTAGCCATAGTAGTATTTGTAGTAACATTAGTAGTAGTTTAAAGTGTAATGTAAGTCGCTTGGATATAAACTGTCTGCTAACCTGTAATGTAATGTAGTATTAATAGCAGTATAAAATACTAGGAGTGGTAGTAATGGTAGTAGCAGTAGCAGTTGTAGAAGTTATCCTAGTAGTACTATTAGTAGTAGCTGTACTAGTATTTGAAAGAGCAATAAGTATTTCAAAGTACTTCATGGTTAAGGTACTTCAAAGCCTTCCAACAGTGGTCACGTACTTCCCCTCAGATCAATAATCAATAATCAATAACCAATAACACACCTTCTGCATCCAGGGACTCGATAGAACTCATGACAGACACACACACACACAGACACACACACACACACACACACATCACAGACACACACACAGACACACACATGACTGGCAGCAGAGAGATGACTGTGTTTGTTCTCAGTCTGAGATGTTGCTGCAGCATCAGTCCAACCCCTGTCTGGTCAACAAGGCCAAGAAGACTCCTCTGGACCTGGCCTGTGAGTTCGGGAGAGTCCAGGTGAGCAGGTCTTCATGTGGGGGTTCCTCTGTGAGGACTTGGTCCACACGCAGTGCTTCCTGGGATCTGTGGTCTAAACCAGGGCTGGTTTGGGGGTTAGTCTTCAGGGAGTCAGTCAAAACCAGTTACAGCTGGACAAACACACACACACACACACACACACACCACACACCCACACACACACACACACACACAGAGCGTTGATTGGGTTTCCTCGGTAACGTCTCTGTTGTCTTTGTCCTTCTCTGTCTCTGTGTTGACATAAATCTGAGAAGTGGATTTTATGGTAGCAGCTACACACACACATTACACACACTGTGGTGTGTGTGTGTCGGTGTGTGTGTGTGTGTGTCTGTGTGTGTGTGTGTGTGTGGTGTGTGTGTGTGTAGCCCTCAGCTGTCTCAGCTGTTGTGTTTCCACTGTCCTCTCGTCCTTCTATAACTTCATTATTCAATCGCACAAAACTTTATCCAACATTGTATCAAACATCACAAATGTGTGTTAACATGGTCCTGATTGGTCGGAATCATATTTCTACTTCCTGCTAGAGCTTATTTACAATATGCTGATACTTCATATGATAAAGTACTTACTTTAGATACTTTTTTCCAAATCTTTAGGCGACGTATAAAAATGTTTGTGCTATTTTATACTGGATGAGTTGGTTAAGGACAGGCGGTGGTCTCCGTGGTCTTCATCATGCCCCCCCCCCCCCCCCCCCCCCCCCCAGGTGGCCCAGCTGTTGCTAAGCAGCAACATGGTGGTGGCGCTGCTGGAAGGAGAGAGGAAGGAGCAGACAGACTCCGCCTTCACCACCCGCTCCACCTCGCCGCCCGCAACGGGCACAAGGACTCATCAGGTGAGGGGGGGCTGAGCTCTGAGTGGTGTGAGTCTGCTCTTCATCCGCTGTCATACACAGCAGCAATCTCTGTGACCTACTTATACAGAGAGAGAGAGTGTGTGTGTGTATGTTGGTGTGTGTGTGTGTGTGTGTGTGTGTGTCGTTTCTGAATGAATCACATCTCCAGATCATTTCAAACACAATGTCTCGTGTTTGAAATGTTTGAATAAAGGTTCCAGGAGACTCAGATCCAGGTCTGATCCCAGGACTCAGATCCAGGTCTGATCCCAGGACTCGGGTACGGGTCTCAGGTGTGTCCCTGGTCCTGTTTCAGTCTGCATAGCTGGCTGCCGGCATCGACATCAACAAGAACACCAAGTCGGGGCGGCTCTCCACGAGGCGTCTTGTACGGGAAGACGGACGTGGTCCGCCTTCTGCTGGACGTGAGTTCACCTGAGACTACTTTGAGTGATGTCATGTCACAGGTGAGCCATGACGTCACTGTCCATGTGACCTGTTGGTTGTCTCTGAAGGCCGGAGTGGACGTGAACATCAGGAACACCTACAACCAGACGGCTCTGGACATCGTGAACCAGTTCACCACGTCCCACGCCAGCAGGGACATCAAGCAGCTGCTGAGAGGTCCTCTTCTTCTGCTGATTCCTCTTCTTCTGCTGATTCCTCTTCTCCTACTGATTCCTCTTCTTCTGCTGATTCCTCTTCTCCTACTGATTCCTCTTCCCTACTGATTCCTCTTCTCCTACTGATTCCTCTTCTTCTGCTGATTCCTCTTCTTCTGCTGATTCCTCTTCTCTGCTGATTCCTCTTCTTCTGCTGATCCTCTCTTCTGCTGATTCCTCTTCTTCTACTGATTCCTCTTCTTCTGCTGATTCCTCTTCTTCTACTGATTCCTCTTCTTCTACTGATTCCTCTCTGCTGATTCCTCTTCTTCTACTGATTCCTCTTCTTCTACTGATTCCTCTTCTCCTACTGATTCTCTTCTCCTACTGATTCCTCTTCTCCTGCTGATTCCTCTTCTTCTGCTGATTCCTCTCTTCTGCTGATTCCTCTTCTCCTGCTGATTCCTCTTCTCCTGCTGATTCCTCTTCTCCTGCTGATTCCTTCTTCTTCTGCTGATTCCTCCTTCTTCTGCTGCTGCTTATTCTACCCCCTATTTTCCTACTGCTACTTATTTCTTCTTCTGTTGTTTTTACCTCTTCTCTGCTCACTTCATTCAGTTGCATTTTGGTTACGCAATATTCAATATTTCAATCTTATCACTTCAAAAACCTGTGTGTGTGTGTGTGTGTTTCTGTGTGTCTGTGTGTCTGTGTGTGTGTGTGTCTGTGTGTCTGTGTGTCTGTGTGGTGTGTGGTGTCTGGGTGTCTGTGTGTGTGTGTTGGTGTGTGTGTGGGTGTGTGTGTGTGTGGGTGTGTGTGTCTGTGTCTGTGTTTGTTGTGTGTGTGGGTGTGTGTGTGTGGCTGTGTTTGTTTCTCAGTCCTTTGATGTTTCTGGTAGAATAATGAGCCGTTGGTCTTAATTCAAGACTTTTCGTTAACGAGTTTCTAATTTCAGAACAGTCTGCATCTTATTTTGAAAACCAGCCTTCCATTTAATTATTTTCTGGTTGTTGCTTGTTTCATGTCTGTTTCTGGGTTTAGTTTTGGTTCCTGTTCTGTCCCGGATCTACTTCTGGTTGTAGGTGTAGTTTGGTTCTGAATGTGTTTCTGGATATAATTCTGGTTCTAATGTTGGTTCGGTTCTGTTCTGGAGCTTGTTCTAGTTTTGGTTCTGGCTCTTTGGTGGTCTGGTTAAAGGTTGCAGTTGTACATCTGTTTTTTATTCTGTGATGGTTCTAGTTTTGTTTTTGGATCTTGTTCGATTTCTAATTATATTTCTTATTCTGGTGCTAGTTCTAGTTTGGTTCTGTTCAAGATCCAGTTATGGTTGTAGTTGTAGTTCTTTTTTTATACTGGATCCGGTTCTAGTTCTGGTTCTGGTTCTGTCCTGGTAGGTTTCTAGTTGTAATTCTATTCTTATTCTGGAGATTGGTTCTAGTTTGGATTCTGGTTCTGTTTTGGATGTAGTTCTGGTCAGGTTCTAGTCCTGGTTCTGTTCTCCACAGATGCAACGGGGGTCCTGCAGGTCCGAGCTCTGAAGGACTACTGGAACCTCCACGACCCGACAGCCCTGAACATCCGGGCCGGAGACGTGATCATGGTGAGACGTTCACGGACCTGTCAGGGGGGGCCGCCGAGCAGAAGAACTCAATGATTAATAATAATACTACTAATAAAACAAATATTCAGTCGTCACTTTTCAATGTGAGAGCAGCTCCGAGTCATCAATCGATGATGTGGCGACATCCCGTATTTTAACTTAAATCTGCAGTATTATGAGAGTTCCTCTCGGGATGAGCTTTAATAACGTTATTGATCCGTGAGGTCAGGGGCGTCGGTGGCATGGAGGAGACAGGGTGTGTCTGAAACCGCAAGGTTGGTGGTTCAAAGCCCGGCTGCTCCATGTCCCTGAGCAAAACACCCAACTCCCAACTGCCCCCCGGGCAAAATGTAAAAACCACGGGTTCAAATGTAAAGTGTCAGCTAAGTGACTTGTAATGTAATCAGGAATCAGGACCCGTCCCAAAATATGTCAAACATACAAGGAATTTGTTTCGGCGGTTGGTGCGTGACAGTAGAAACAATAGACAACAAGACAGCAGTGATAAAATAAAATAAAATGAAATAAAAAATAGTAGAATAAGGCTATGGGTTAGTATAAAACAAGAGAATAAAGTTAAAGTTAAACATTTCAAATATTAAAAATAAAGTGCACTATCGAACAAGTGACAAAGTGACGAGTGAGAAATGACAGTAAAGTGACGTGTGCAGTATGAAGGGGAGTGACCGTGGGATGTTATAGTCAGGCAGTGGGGGACCGGCTCTGTTGATGAGCCCGACTGCCGACGGAAAGAAACTGTTGGTGTGGCGGGAGGTCTTAGTCCTGATGGACCTCAGCCTCCTGCAGATAATGGAAGCACATATATTGTATTTATATATACATATATACATATATAGACACTGTCTTTTATCGACACAGTGGTGGTCCTCTGCAGGTAGATGTTGAGATGGAAGTAGCCTAGCAGCTAGCTTAGCATAGCAGTGCATAAAGTGGTCCGCTTGCACTCGTCCTGCTTCTGTTTGACACGTGGAGGAATTCCTCTGCACTGCATCTTCAACCACCGTCTCTCTCTGCATCTAAATGCTTCAGGGGTCAGAGGTCAACGCACACGGAAGGAAACAAAGATATTGTTCTCATAGATTAACGCATTTACTTTGACATCCCTAATACATATTTATATATTTTAATTCATAACTTACTTATATCACTTGTAGTTTTTTGTGCAGTTGAAGAAGTAACCAGCCCGTTATGTGTTTTTGTTTCTTTTGTTTTGCGGTCACCACAGCGAGAAAAAGAGCAGAAGCTGATATTTACTATTGATCACAGCCAGAAGCCCCTCCCCCTGGTTACCTGTGTTTGCCCTGCAGGTGATGGAGCAGCACGTGGACGGGCGCTGGAAGGGTCACATTCACGACACCCAGAGGGGGATGGACCGGGTGGGCTTCTTCCCCCCCTCCATTGTGGAGGTCATCAGCAGGCGGAGCGGAGCAGCGAGTGAGTCTTCTAGTGAGTGTTTTACGTCTAATAGTTATTTGAGTTTTCCAGATGTCTTTCTTTACAATTTCTCACATATTTTACTACATTTTGGATAGTTTTAAGGCATTTTTCATACATGTGTGTATTGTGTGTGGTGTGTATATATATATATACATATGTATGTATATTATGTATGTATACATATACAGATTTCACCAAGATTTTTTACAGATTACAGATTTTTTTTTGTTGAAATATCTCACATTTTTCTTAAAAATATATGAGGTATGAAACTATATGTTGTTGAAAATATATTATAAAAGATGTCCAATAAATATGTCTTAAGATGATTTATTGCATGTAATATATTTTAGATATTTTTCTTCCGATGCCACTGGTTTCTATGCAGAATGTTGAACTTCTTTCCAGATATTTTTGTCACAAACACTTCTTCATATTTTTTCCACATTATATATATTGATGAACCAAATCTTTATCATCTCATATCAGAGGAGATAGAGATTCAAATCCTCCATTAGGAATAAATCGGCCTGAACTATCCCACGCCTCCTTCCTCCTGCATCCATCTCTCCATCCATACCACATAATGATTGACCTCCACCTCTACCATCAGCTTCATAACCTTCCCCCCTTCCTCCTCCTTCCTGTCTCGCCCTGTAGGGGGCGCCCTCTCCGGCACTCCTCCCTACCCACGCATCGCCAGCAGCATCCATCCAGAGCCCCCCTCTCCACGGGCCTAAGCTCCACCCCTCAGACGAGACGACTCCTACACCTTGTACGCCCCCCCCACCCACGTTGTGCTGCCCCTAGCCAACGGCCTCAACGCCACAGGTACACGCCCCCTCAGGTGGATCATCATCTGACTCCTGTGACTTAGACCCAAACCTTTTGTTTCAAACTCCAACCCTGATTTACTCATAAAGAACAAGTGTCTGGTTTTCAGCCAAAGACCCAATAGAAGACTTTAATCACCCCACCCCCCCCTGACAGAACGCAGTCCATCTTTGTATCTGATAGGTTTGTGTTCGAGCATCCTGTCTCAGTCCGGGTGTCCCTTTGAGGACATCTGGGTCCTCAGAGACTTGTGTCATGGTAAGACTCTGCTCCCCCCTGACACCTCCCTCCCCCGCTGCTGTGAGGCTGCTTACTGCTCAACGCTCTGCATCCGGACACGGCACGCCGGGACAACCGGGTCGCCTCATGATGCTTCACTTTATCATATGAAGCCTCATGACGCTTCACTTTATCATATGGAGCCTCATGACGCTTCACTTTATCATATGAAGCCTCAAGACGCTTCACTTTATCATATCGCGCCCTATAATGCTTCACTTTATCATATGAAGCCTCACGACAGTTTGCTTTATCATATGAAGCCTCATGACGCTTCACTTTATCATATGAAGCCTCATGACGCTTCACTTTATCATATGAAGCCTTATGACGCTTCACTTTATCATATCGCGCCCTATGATGCTTCACTTTATCATATGGAGCCTCATGACGCTTCACTTTATCATATGAAGCCTCAAGACGCTTCACTTTATCATATGAAGTCTCATGACGCTTCACTTTATCGTATGAAGCCTCAAGACGCTTCACTTTATCGTATGAAGCCTTATGACGCTTCACTTTATCATATGACGCATCACTTTATCATATGAAGCCTCATGATGCTTCACTTTATCATATGAAGCCTCATGATGCTTCACTTTATCATATGAAGCTTTATGACGCTTCACCTCCTGACACTTTCCATGACATCACTTCACCTCCTGACTCAAAGTGATACACTGAGGTGACCCTGGTCAGGTGTGTCGGGTCCTGCCTCTGATTGGCTGCTTCTGGCTGGCCCCTCCCCCTGGTAGGTCTCTGTGGGGGTCATGACATCATGGGGGAGCCTCTCAGAAGAAGAAGAAGCGGTGAATGGCTGCTAACCTTTATTTGTAATATTTATATATTTATTCGCTATGATACTATGACCCCCCCCCTCCTTGATGACCTCACGCTGCTCCTGGTCCCGTGTGTCTCTCAGCGGGGGACCGGAACAGTGTCGGCAGCAACGGAAGCGTCGGCAGTACGCGGAGTGCCGGGAGCGGGAAGAGCACTGGCAGCAGCGCCCCCCCCAACGGACTCCAGCACCACGTCGGTCACCACGACAACGCCGGACAGGTAACGGGGGCCCTTTGATCTTTCTACCTAATGAATCAGCTGATTTATCCAACAGGTTTTAGTATTTTATAGAATCTTATTCATCAGCAGCTTTACTTTATTATTATTTCAGTTCTAAGACGTCATAGACGGCTTATTTGTTCATGCTTATTACGCTCATTGTTAAGTTTATATTTAAGTTCATGCTTGTGCTTGGTGTGTGTCTGTGTGCAGCCAGCCCCCCCTGCTGGACACTCAGACAAACATCTGGATCCTCCTGCAGGTAACAACTCCAAGAGGAAGAAGTATTTTGTCCAAGAGGAAGAAGTATTTTGTCCAGTGTACTTTGGGGTTTATGTTATGGATTGTTTCTTTCTTTCTTGTGATGAACATTAGAACCAGAAGCAGAACGTTGTGGTTCACACACGTAGGAAAGAACTTAGACTACAGATATCAAAACCTACTTAAATGTGACTCTTCATCCAGAATCTCAGATCTGGTGGGGGGGTGTGGTGTTCTCAGGTGGAGCTCCTCGGAGGCAGGCGGTGACGGTGCAAAGCTTCTCTCAGTGTGTTCGTCCTCAGCAGCTTCTGGAGGGGAAGGTACGTTTCCACCGAGCGGTACGGTACGAGTCGGGTCTGTTAACCATGATTTGGCGACCGTTTCCACCGCCAACAGTACCCTTAGAGACTCCCCAGAGAGGAGGTGGACATATTGTAGACGTTGGAGCTCATGTGCACATCTTCTAACTAAGAAGCTGGTTGTGCTGCAGGATGCAGAAGCCATCTACCAGTGGCTCAGGGACTTCCAGCTGGAGCAGTACATCGGGAACTTCCTCAGGCCGGCTACGACGTGCCGACCATCAGCAGGATGACCCCCGAGGTGACGAGCAGCCGAGAGCCAGAAGTAACGGTGGAGGTGTTTGTGTGCCGCTCACGTCAATTCGTTTCTGCAGGATCTCACCGCCATTGGAGTCACCAAACCAGGCCACCGCAAGAAGATCTCCATGGAGATCAACAACCTGAGCATCCCTGAGTGGCTGCCTGAGTACATTCCGGTAAGACCGGGCCCCTGACCCCCCACTTCTGTCCGCTGACCTTCTGGTACCACTCACCTCTTCCCCCCCGGCAGGCGGATCTGGGCGAGTGGCTCAGCGCCATCGGCCTCCAGCAGCACCACAAGAAGCTCTCTGAGAACGGCTACGACTCCATCAGCATCGTCAGGGACCTGACATGGGAGGACCTGCAGGAGATTGGCATCATCCAGCTTGGTGAGGACTGTGTTCTGTGGGGGGGTCGGTACACCGGGAGGGGGGGCGGGGTCAGCTTCACTCTGATGTGGTGCTTGAACTCTGTGACAGGCCACCAGAAGAAGCTGATGCTGGCGGTGAAGAAGCTGTGCGACGTCCAAAGGGCAATCCAGCAGGAGGAAGCGGGCCTCGGCACACTGCGCCGCGCGGCCCCCGGGGCCCTCAACCTGGTCACCATCGAGCCGCCTGACCCGGGGGGCGAGGGCTCCCCCCCCCCCACCCCGAGGATGCTGAGCTTCCAGGACAGCGAGCTGAGCGCTGAGCTGCAGACGGCCATGTACGGGGAGGGCTCGGCCATCAGGAGCCAGGAGAATATGGAGACGCGGTCCAGAGGCTCCGGGCGCTCCCTGGACCCCCCCACGGCTTCCATCAGCCCCCACAGCTGGTCCCAGGAGAGCCTGGAGGGCCGGAACCTCCCTGAGGGCTGGGACCAGAGGCCTCTGGCCAAGCAGGTCCCTCTGGGCACGGCCACCGTGTTCAAGTACCCGACCATCGCGGCCAAGCCCAAGCTGGGCCCGCCCCCCCACGGCTCCCCGGCGCTGAAGGGCTTCAGCTACCTGCACTCTCACTGGGGTTCCACGGACCTGAGCTCGGCTCCCAGACCCGGGAACCACAGCATGACCCTGATGCCGCCCAAGAGGCGCTCGCAGGGCACGGCGCGCTACGCCCTGTCGGACGGGGAGCCGGAGGAGGAGGAGGAGCCTGTGTACGGCTCTGGGACGCTGGCGTCCTACGCCACCCTCACCCGCAAGCCCGGCCGCAGCCGGCTGGCCCGCCTGCAGGCGAGTCCGGAGAAGAGCGGCGGTGTGGGCCGCAGTCAGTCCTTTGCGATACGCGCCCGGAAAAAGGGTCCGCCGCCCCCCCCACCCAAGAGATTGAGCTCGGTGAGCAGCACCACCAGCGGGGAGCTGAGCGACAGCAGCACCACGTCGTCCTGCGGGGGGGGGCTGACGGACAGCCCGGTGAGCGTGAGGAGCATCGCCGCCTCCCTGGAAGGCAAGAATTCTCCCGGATCCAAACCGGTTCTGGCTCGGCCGGAGGAGTCCCCTTCGTCCCCCCTCCATCCCCTGGAACCAGAGCCCGGTGATGCTGGCAGCGGGCGCAGGGGGGCGCGTGCCGAGTGCCTCCCCACCCGGACCGGCAGCGCGGTGGAGCGAGCGAGCAAGTCCGACTCCGAGGAAGAGGAGCCGAAAGACGGCAGACTGGAGGGGTCCTCGTCCCCCCAGAACAGCTCTAGCGAGTGCATCCCCTTCGCCGAGGAGGGCAACTTGACCATCAAACAGAGGCCCAAAGGCCCGGGCCCCCCCAGGGCCGAGGCAGTGCTGGAGACTCCGGAGAATCAGGCCTCCAGGGGACCCGAAGTGCCCGAGTTCAACCTGAAGGAGTCGGACACAGTGAAGCGCCGCCACAAACCCAAAGACCAGGAGGGCGGAGGGGGCTCCCCCTGCCGGGAGGGGGGCTGCCGGGTCGAAGACTGTTTGAAGATCAGGGAGGCCGGCGCGGAGAGGCCGGACAGTCCGGCTCTGGGGTCCCCCATCAGACCCGTCCACTCTCCAAAACCTGCCATGGCCCCAAAACCTGTCCGGCACAGCATGCTGACAGCAGGTCAGATGAGCTCATTAAACGCAACAAACAGTTATATAAAGTGTAAATATACAACGTATGAATACATACATGTGTGTGTATATATACACGACCAGGATGTTGTTTTTGTTACAGATGTTGTTGATTGGTTGTTGTTGGATGTTCACTGGTTAATGTTGTTGTTGTTGTTGTTGGTATCTCACCCCGTCTCAGCTGGCCTCCCTTCTACATCAGTGACCGTCAGTGTGATTCAGAGTGTGGCCTTCACCTCTCCCTCCTCCCCCGTTGGTGGATCTCGGGGCCCAGCCCCCCCATCCCCCAACAGTCCCTCGCTGGCGGCGGCAGGGCCGCAGGTGTGCGTGGTCGGCCCGGGTAGCGGCCCAGAGTTGTCCTGCGGGACGGAGGTGGTCCAGCAGAGACTGGATGAGACCAGCACGTCTCTAGAAGCAGCTCTGAAGGCCGTCGAGAGGAAACTGGAGGACAACTCAGACGGGTAAGACGGAGAGAGAGAGAAGTAGAGTCATTTCCTCATAGACGTCTATGGGAGCAGAGGAGTCGCCCCCTGCTGGTCACTACAGAGAAGTAGAGTCATTTCCTCATAGACGTCTATGGGGGCAGAGGAGTCGCCCCCTGCTGGTCACTACAGAGAAGTAGTCATTTCCTCATAGACGTCTATGGGAGCAGAGGAGTCGCCCCCTGCTGGTCACTACAGAGAAGTAGAGTCATTTCCTCATAGACGTCTATGGGAGCAGAGGAGTCGCCCCCTGCTGGTCACTACAGAGAAGTAGAGTCATTTCCTCATAGACGTCTATGGGAGCAGAGGAGTCGCCCCCTGCTGGTCACTACAGAGAAGTAGAGTCATTTCCTCATAGACGTCTATGGGAGCAGAGGAGTCGCCCCCTGCTGGTCACTACAGAGAAGTAGTCATTTCCTCATAGACGTCTATGGGAGCAGAGGAGTCGCCCCCTGCTGGTCACTACAGAGAAGTAGAGTCATTTCCTCATAGACGTCTATGGGAGCAGAGGAGTCGCCCCCTGCTGGTCACTACAGAGAAGTAGAGTCATTTCCTCATAGACGTCTATGGGAGCAGAGGAGTCGCCCCCTGCTGGTCACTACAGAGAAGTAGAGTCATTTCCTCATAGACGTCTATGGGAGCAGAGGAGTCGCCCCCTGCTGGTCACTACAGAGAAGTAGAGTCATTTCCTCATAGACGTCTATGGGAGCAGAGGAGTCGCCCCCTGCTGGTCACTACAGAGAAGTAGAGTCATTTCCTCATAGACGTCTATGGGAGCAGAGGAGTCGCCCCCTGCTGGTCACTACAGAGAAGTAGAGTCATTTCCTCATAGACGTCTATGGGAGCAGAGGAGTCGCCCCCTGCTGGTCACTACAGAGAAGTAGAGTCATTTCCTCATAGACGTCTATGGGAGCAGAGGAGTCGCCCCC